GAGGCCTTGGCTGGCTGCGTGGCCGTGTGTTGGTTCCTGGGCAGTGAATTGATTTATTTGCATTATCTGACAGGTCTGTGCACTTGTGCCTCATTCCCCCAAACAGAAAACAGTGAAAATTTGAACGAATAAAGACATAAGTAAAATTACAAGTGCCGCTACTTTGCCTTCAGCATGCTCAGAAATACCCAGATGGGAATGTGATCTCTGCTGCGCATGATTAATCACAGAGGGATTACAAGGAGAAATATGACACTGGTAAATGTCTGAGATTAATTGGAAAGGGCATCTGCATTGACTAGGTTTATTCACGCTTTGTTGTCGGTCCTATCGCTTCCAAAGGAGCTGTCCTGGCACTTGAAGAGTTACTATTTTTTTTTTTAAGTTTGAATGTACATATAAAGAATCTGAATTAGTGTAATTGTTTACTAAATTGATTAACAAGTTGCACTGTAGAAATACTAAATCTTGTCCTTTCTGTATGGCCACAAGGCTCTCCTCTCCCTCTTACTCCTAATTAATTTATATCAGCCTAATCTAATGTGATGTATTTTATCCCACTTAAACTTGTAAAATGTAGTTTATCTAGTGCAGCCTATCTAAACTCTCTGATCTTTCTGAGTGTTAGATACTTATTGCAGCCTCATCCTTGCCGTGAGTTAGGATTTCATGCCTGTTACTGGATTTCATGTTCTCAACCCCCATTAGGCAAGGTTTTTACCCCCTTTTTCAGACGGGGACTGAAGACACAAGAGTTTGAGCAACTTTCTCATAATTATAAAAGTAAGACAGTGGCAGACCAAGGAATAAATCCCATTTCGCTTTCCTACCATGTTAGAAATTAAAATAATACTGATGGGCACACACTCTTCTCACTGATCCCTGGATTTTCTTCTGGCATCGTGGCCGTTCATAATGGAGTAAGAAGCGTTGAGTGTGAGGGTTCGTGATGAAAGGTGGTAGAGAGTGAGGTGCGGTGTAGATTACAGCACGGGACATGGGGTCTGCACCTTGCACAAGGAGGTCTGTGGACACAGTGGCTTGTACCTGACGGAGAGAAGTGAGCTGCAAACACTGGGTGAGTGTTTGGGAGCAATGGGAGAGGGAGGCTGGACCTTGAGGCTATGGCCACTGGAAAGAAGCATGTTGGATGGATTTGCTGCACCAGTCTGGTTCAGGAGCAAAAGCAACAGGGTCCTGATGCAGCAGCTTCCCTGTGGTTGAACTGTTCTTGCCTATCAGAGGTACCCGTGAGCAGCTGGGGCTTGTTTGGGCACTGTCTAGCACAGGAGGGCAGGGGAGGAGGGTGCACAAGAGCTTTAGGAAGTGAGCGGTATTCCTGCTCTCACCCTTGTAAGAGCCAGACTTTGAGAGCACCCACCAGGGTCCCATGGAGCAGAGCTCTCCTCCAGGTGTGGATACATCTCCTGGGGACCAGGCGAGAAAAACGGCACGCAGGTGGTTTGAGGGAAGCCACTGCTTGCTGAAAGGTCACTGGCTGGCTCCCAAGCAAGCACCTCTTGCGTCTGTAGCCACCTCTGTGCTCCAGGCACTTCTCTGTGTTATGCAGAGCCCACTTTGAAGGAGAAGTGAAGCAACTGTATTTTTTTGCTCTTTTTGATGCTATGGATTTGAAGCTGGAAATGAGTCACATCTGTCAGATGTGGCACATCTGTCAGAAACAACTCGGGATCTAGGAAGGAGGAGACATGGCAATGTCTTCTGAAGATGGATCCAAGTGCTTTGATGACACAGCGCAGCCTGAAATTCAAGCTAATGGCTGGGAAAGATTAGGACATGAGCTCTGAGTCTGTGTTTTGGTTGTTAATTCTTAGTTAATGTAGTGAATGTTATTGCTGGATCCTCCAGAGATGAACTTGAATCCCAGCATCCCCCTCTGAACATTGAAATGGTCCTTCCCCAAATTAGCAGAAGACTCTGATTGTCAATCAATTGACCTCGGTGGAAATTTCCACTGACTTCAATGTACTTTGGCTCAAGCCCAAGGCTCGTATCTGCGTCTTCTAACCATTCATGCAGCTTCTCTGCTTGCAGCTTTGCAAGTGTTTATGGAAAATACATTTTAGAGCTCAAGTGAGGACACAGGTTGAAGGTAGTAAGAGGGACTAAAGAAGTGCAAACTAGTTCACAGATTTCTAGACCAGTTTGAGACCAAGGGAAAAATAGTTCTGTATATTCATTGCGGCTAGTATTGAAGGTGACCACTCTACAGAAAGTCAGTTGGTCTTAGCACTAATGACTGCAAATCAATCATTCCTCGCACTCTTAATGTTTACTAAGAATGATTTTTCCCCATTACTTTCTTTTTCCAGATTTAAGCTTTGAAAGCATTTTCTTTAATTTCTAAAGATTTTTGGTGGAATAATGAAATTTGCTTGATACCAGGAAACAAAAGCAACCAAAATTGAATTAGCTTAGAAAGGATCAATTTTGTCTAAAGGGAAAAGTCTTTGACCGCTTCTTAAGAGCTTCGTATGTTCTTTGGAGGGAGAAAGGCAGGATAAGACAGGACATAGTGTATTTTTCCTGTTAAATATAGAAAGAAGATCATGTTTGGTTTTGCCTTAGATCTGTGGCCCAAATGAAGTTTAAAGGTTAGCTCAGCTATGCCATCTTCAATGGTAATAATTATTATAATGAATACCATTTTGTATTTTTGTATTTAGTTGTGATGGCAGTTTGTGTCTTTCAATCCCCAGCAGCGTAAATGGAATGAAAAATTGTAATTTGTTATTAATTTTCATGCATGACTTGTCATATACTCCAGCAAATACATTGTTGTATATACACTGTGCACGTAATTATTTGCGAGACCATCCCTGTGCTGATAGGAATATGAAATAGGAGGGGAGCCAAGACACGGGGAAAATAAGCAGTTTCCCCAAGGTCATGCAATAGGTCAATCCAGCCCCCAATCCCTGGTGCCATCAGTGATTTGCACATTAATGCACTGCAACAGGAGCTGGAGGAGGGTGGAAAAAATAATGAAACCTCTGCCCAAATGGTGACTCCAGAAATGAAAGCAGGTTTTTGGCCTGCTCCTACCGATTTCTGCTGGAGGTGGGGGGGAGATTGTGTGGGCATCTGCCATTGGGTGAGAGAGTGGGTGGATTTGTGGCCAGCGAGGAAGCCAAACCGCTGTAGGATTAAGAAGGATATTTCTGTCGCGGTGACTGGTTATTATTTCCTTTCTGAGTTACAACACGCAGTGCCCTGGTCGTTTTGCTTTGTGTGGCACTTTGAAGGTGAAAAAGCAGATGTGAGAGCAGCACTGCAATCACCCCTGAGTAGAGACGGTTCCTGTAGCTCAGACAGGAGCTGCGCGAGCTTGTTAAGACAGGAGCGTCTGGCATCATGACGCCAAAGAGACATAGTAGCTTGGAAAGAAATGGTGCACTCAAGTCTTCTGGGTAGGACTTCCAGAGAGGCTTGGAGCTGGGACGCTTGCTTTCCTTGCAGAGCACTATCATCAGGTCTAATCCTGCTCCCAGGGAGAGTCAGCTGGTGCACAGTTACTGGTGCTAATGGGGTCAAGACCAGGCTTTTAGCTGTGCTATACTTATCAAAGTAAATGCTAGCCAATGCACGGAAAAGGGCTGCTTGGAGGATTAGAAGCAGAATCCTCCAGCAGAAGGGAAAGGACATCCAGGAGTCCGTGTAAGGAGGAGTGAAAAAGCAAGAAAAGTTTGTGCTATGTGGACTTTAGGGGGACCCTGAAGGCGGTGATCTCTGTCGTCTGGCTCTCCAGCTGCACAGGGATGGGTAGACTCTGTGTGTGAGTGAACAAGGCTGTAAAGATTAGTGCCACTGATTGCTTTTGACTTTCTTGGAACACAATGGCACCAGAATTGCCATGAGCTTTAGTTTTGAACACTGCTTAAGCCTTGTCCCCTTGGCTGGTCCATATCATCAAACAGCTGCAGGTTGGTGCACAGCTCCCTCCGAGAGCAGCTGAGAATAAGCAGGAGATGAGGCATCTTTCCTGTAAACCCTAAGCCACGTGGGGCTTTTTTGGAGATGGCTGGCACTGTCTGGATTGCTGAGTGCATTCTCCACAGCGGTTCCATCCTGTGGCTTTGCACTCCCATGAAAGTAATGCATGTGCACCAAGCCATACGTGTGCACAAACACCCATGCCCACTGCAGCTGTGTCTGGCCCTATGCCATCTGGATGAGGCTGTATATAAGCTATAGATACTCATTGGCTACCATCGCCCTCAAAGGAGCTGTATCTCAGTGGCTGTGTTGAATAGAAGCTGGGAATAAAGAGAAATATCGTCAATAATAAGACAGGCATATCTGTGTGTCCTCCTAAAGGCTGGCCCCTACAGGAGAGGGATTTACTGTAAGATCTGTGTGAATGTGATTCAGAGAACAAGACCAGAGAGGGCAAGAGGAGAGATGGAGCGTGTTGTAGAGGTAGAATTAAAAAAAAAAAGGCAAAAAAAAAGGGGGAAAAAAAAAAGGCAAGGAGAAAGAGAAAAATTGAAAAGAGCAAGGGCAATGAGATAGAAAAAAAGAGAGATGAAAATGAAGAGGAGATGAGCATGATGGAGGAGGTCTCTTCACGGGAAGACACATCTCAGAATTTAACTCCATTTGTTTCTCTGCGGCTACAGAACTAGCCCATACATTGTATGGCATTAGCTCAGGTCACTTTTCTAGTGCCAAAGCTGAAAGGGACCTTCATACTCTTTCTGTATGAACTGCCCGAAGACTTTATTTTACCCAGCGACTCCTGTGGGGAAGTGAGCTACCTTCCCCATCAGCAGTTTATTGAGCTCAAATCTAAGAAATCTGCAAGACCTAAAATATTCCAAGACCTTCTTACCCATAATGAGAAGGACAATGAAAACATGCCAGGACTGTTCTAGATGACAAACATCCTGATACCATGGAAGTGCAGCAATTCTTTGCCTGCACCATCTAATCTGCTCTTGCTTGACTATTTTTTTTTTCTCACCCTTTAGGAAACCAAGATGGATTACAGCTCGTTCAGTGGAGTCCCCCGATTCTTGACCCGGCCTAAGGCGTTTATGGTGTCTGTGGGGAAGGATGCCACCCTGAGCTGCCAGATCATTGGAAACCCCATCCCAGTTGTGAGCTGGGAAAAGGATAAACTTCCAGTCCAGTCTGGAGGAAGGTTTAAAACCACAGAAGATGGGGATCTCTATAGGCTAACAATCTACGATCTGAGCCTGGAGGACAGTGGCCAATACATCTGTCGGGCCAAGAACACCATTGGGGAAGCTTTTGCAGCTGTCAGCATCAAAGTTGGGGAGGAGACCACAGTAACAGAGTCAGCCCCATACTTCATCCAGAAACCTTCCTCCATCAAAGTAACATTGGGAGAAGATGCCATGTTCAAATGCAAAGTCCAGGGCAGCCCTCCCCTCTCAGTGAACTGGGAGAAGGATGGGAGACACCTTCGAAACCGGGCTGATGCCGGCCGCTTCCAGATCGAGTCTTCTGGGGAGTCCAACGCTCTCACCATCCAGTGTGCCCGGCTGGGGGACAGCGGCACCTACACCTGCCGGGCAGAGAATCCCATCGGCTCCGCCAGTGCTTCGGCCGCGCTGGTGGTGGAAACGCAGGGGTCTTCCAACCCGGGGAGCAGCAGCCACTTCAATACCAGCTGTGGCAAGACGGCATCCTTGCTGTCTCACTTGCAAAAGAGGCGGGAGGAGATCAGGAAGGTGGACATCTCCCATGGGGGTCTTGATTCAACGTCTGCCCAGTCTTATTCCATGGCAGAAGGGTTGTCTGGCATGAGCTACAGCCTCTCCCGGGATTACGAGAGAGCGGCTGGACTTACCACCAAAGGGGCCCGCAATGCGACTTTTGGGGCATTGACACGCACGTGCAGCGTGACGGAGGGGAAGCATGCCAAGCTGAGCTGCTACGTGACGGGCGAGCCCAAGCCAGAGATTGTGTGGAAGAAGGACAACGAGGTCATTTTGGAAGGGCGGCGGCATGTCATCTATGAGGATGATCAGGAGAACTTTGTGCTGAAGATCCTCTTCTGCAAGCAGATAGACAACGGGCTGTACACCTGCACGGCCTCCAACCTGGCAGGCCAGACATACAGCTCCGTGCTCGTCACCGTCAAAGGTGGGTGCTTATGTTTCTCACTGGGGTGGGCATGCCTGCAAGGAGACAGGCTATGCACTTCTGAATTGGTGTGGGAGCGTGAACAAAACTTGGACCACCAAACTGCTGCAAAGGAATGTGGGATAGACATGAATAAAAGCCCTCCAGCTGTAAAGGAGGTTAAGCACTGGAACAGATGATGTGAGGAGAGAGTCTCATCACTGGGGGGTTTTAGGAAGGGATCAGTCAGGGATGGATGATGTAGAACTGGCTGGTTGTGGGGCATCTGTGATAAACTAGATCTCTAAAGCTCCCATCTGTCCTGGTTTTATAGTGGTCTGAGATCCATCACCATCCTCTGGATCAGGGACTGCTAAAGCCCCATCTTACCCTCCTTTATATTCACCACAGGGTTTAGTCAAACTGGCACACACATGCCATTTAAGCAGAAGTAGAGGAAACTCCTTCCTGCAAGCTGAGCGTGTTAGGCTGCCTTGGATCCCTTGGGAGACCTACTCCAACTCTAATTACAGTCCGTCTCAGTCTTCCTGTACAGAGTGACCCACCAGCAGCCTTGTTTTCGCCAGCCCTCTTCAGCCTTTTCCCAGCTTGTGTCGCTGGATACCCTGTAGTCCTTGTATGCTCCCAGAACTCTACTAGGTCCAGGATGCCTCTTTTTGCTGTGGTCGGTGGTGAAGAATTTGACTTCAGAGGGTCCTTCAACGCTGGTGGAGGTCCGACCAAGTTCTTCAGAATGGCGACAAAAATGTGACACATATTTTCACAAAGGAAGCTCTAAATTGTCAAGCTGCTCTCCCATTTGGCAAGGCTACAGCAGGCAGTTTGCAACCCGGGCAGCACCTGTAAATTAACTCTCAGATGGCTTCACCACTTGAGTAGCAAAATAGATGTTTTTGACTGGCAGCAAAATAAATTAGAAATCCAAATGAGTAGGGATGGCCTGTGCTTCATACCCATCTTTAAGGCTCTCAGGTTTTATTTGGTTTTCTGGTTTCCCTTTTCTGGACTTCTCCTTTCACACTCACCCTCTTTCCCGTCAGTGACTCAGTCCCCGTCTCCATCAGTGACATCTGATCTGTGGAACTCGCTGGCACTTGTCCCACTCGTTGCCATCCCTTGGAGGTGCTGAGTGGTGTTGGGAAGGGCATTTGTCCTCTTCCATAAAGCTGTGATTACCTCATGAGTTGGGACTCAGAGCTGAAGACTGAGCCTGGCCCTTGCGTGGGTGTTCACTTTGAGGATGGCTCAAGCTCCGTTACTTGCCCAACACCTGCCTTGCAAAGACAAACACCCTCCCCTCTGCCCATGCTTATTTGATTATTCCCAATGGGTGCAACCTGTTCCAAAGGAGACAGGGAAGGCATGCGAAGCAGAAGGTCTGGGAGCAAGCACCATGGGAAAAGTTATTGATCAATGTCCATTGTCAAGAGACGCCTGTGAGTCAGAGGGCTTAAGTGGAAACGTTTATGGTCTGTTTCTTTGTTATGCTATACCATGTTGGGCTTTCTGACCAGGCCAAGGCTGCCATGGAAAATCTGCGTGTGTTGGTTATAATTAGGCCATGAATAATGACTCTCTTTCTGCCACCAGAAGTCCTTCTCAGCCCTCCAAAGACAGCTGAGAATGATGTAGCAGTGAAGGGAGCTTTTAATTCTGTTGTTTATGCCGTTGGTGATGCCATTAGCTCATCTGCCATCTGGTTTAGGGAGGTAGGTCATCTTGCCACACAACCTTCTCTTTGCTCAGTTGTGAAGAAGAGGCTAAATTCTCCAAGCAGCCACCCTTGGTAAGCACCATGCTGTTGTGTTGGTCTTTCTGCAGGTAACAGCATATTCATAGAGCCTGTGATGCTGCATCCACAATCTGTGTCCATAGACATATGTACCAGGAAAGACAAGCTTCATGGATTTAAATATGCTCTGGCACTTTGGTTCTCAGAATTTCAGCACAGGAATCTGAATGAGAATATTTATGGGACTTTTATTATTACCTTTTAAAGATAATATTAAAAAAAGTCTACCTAGCCCAGCATCCTGTCTGTAAGGTGGCTCTTAGCAGTCTCTCAGGGCATAGGACTGGGCACAGGTCAAACCTCCTCTAGAAAGCCTCCTATAGTCTGTCAAGCTAGATCCTAGACCTAGGGACCCAACACATTTGTAAGCACTTTGCTGAGCTCATGCCTTAAAGACCATTGAGCTGAAAAAAAAGAGATTTTTGAGCTGTTCCTGAATGAGATGTAGTGAATCAGACGTAAATCTCAAAGGAGAGGTTACAGGGCAGAGAGTCACTCTCACAGTTAAGGAAAACCAAGAGTTGATTACTCCGATTCAGACATATGTTTAGAGCACGGATAAAATCACAAGTTGTACACTGAAACGTGAGCTGTAAAAGAAGTTTGGAAATTCTTCCCGAGAGTAAAACTCTTTGTCAAACCAAAGAGCAGAGAGGATGGGAGGAACACGAATAAACAACTTGAATTTCCTGAAGGCTTTGGAGATGTGCCTAGGCCATGTGTAAAGTTAGCAAGAACAGTGTACAAGTCTCCATCCTTGGGTCTGGGCCAAGCAATGCTCATCTGAGTCCCTGAATACAGTAATCAGATACTGTATGAAAAGGTTAAAGGTTGCAAGCCAAATAGGATAGAGACTGGAAAAACAGACTGGTGCTGAGGCCACTTAATTCCCCTCTGACCTGAAGTGATTTTGGATGCCCACTATCATGGTAGTCACATTTGAGATCTGAAAGAGAATTGCAACTTGAGAAATGTGGAGGTAGAAAGGAAACTCAGAAAGCACAGTAACTAGGAAGAAGACCAAAGGCACAAGATGGTGGAAGCTTGTCCATGCACCTTTGGATAGCTCCCTTTGGAAGGATTCTCCTTATTCTTACTCTCACTGGATCGTTTTCGTTAGGCAGAGGGAAAACTTGCCTCTGGAATAACAAATGGAGAGCCCATGAGAAGGCCAGGAATAGGCAAGAGGAAATGTAGGCAAGAGAGAAGAGCAGGTCAAGCAGACAGATATGCCTTGACAAGGTTAAGGAAACATTGGCTTCTTTGCAAGCTGCACCTATTCTTAGCAAAATATGTGTTAGCAGGACCTGCTTTTAAAAAATAACATCATCTCATTGCTAGTTTGGTTGGTATGGACCAAACAAAAAAGCCTATGACACTCTGGAGAAATATGTTCTCAAGACAAGCAGCCAAATTCATAGCTGGTCTAAGCTCTTGCAGTTTCCTGCTAACTCCATGAGCTGCTCTTGTTCCATGTTCTCTTGGGGTTTTGCTTTGTTGTTTCTGTCTCACATTTTTCCCAGTAGGCAGGTTTTTGCAGCTCTCTTATTTATCCTTCTTTAGAAATGTTATTGCCTTAACGAATATTTCTGCTTTGGCTAAAAACAGACTAATAGAAAAAACTGTACAGTCAAAAAAAACTTTAAAAAAATTCGTACTGATACTAGAGATGAATTTAAACGACCTCTCAGGGCACTGAAAATGAGCCATGACCTGGGAGTCCAGATGTTACAAGGACAAAGCAGAATTGCTATTCAAATTGGCACCACTGAGCTCTCATGGAAGTAAATGTTTCTACATAATGCTTGATTTGGAGTGGTAAGAAAAACAGTTTCGTACTTTTGGTTGGATTCTGTATGAAATGGCATCCTCCTGAACTGCTCTTCCAGCTTGCAAAGTGTACCGTTCAGGTGCCTCTTGCTTCTGCTCCCACACTGCAGCCTGCCTCTGCTGCGTCTAAATTGTCTCTTCCGTGGTGCCTGACTGAAAGTGCTTTGTGTTGTGGGAGACACAGGCCAGCTGGGAGAGCATCCTTAGGAAAGGATGTGGTCAGGAAACCATCAAACCATGGCTTCCAAAAGCACCGTGGCAGATCACCTGGTCACAGGCGAATGCCAAACTGAAGTGAAAAAAAGAGTTTGTTTTCTTTAACGCTCCTGAACGTTTCCACTCCAGTCATTGTGAAACAAACCACCTAGATTTTCTCCAAGGAGATTTGAATAGTTGTTTTGAGCAAAAATCAGTATTTTACTTTGGAACTGAGAGAGAGATCAGAAATCACCATTCTTGCTTAATGTTAAATAATTTCTAAGCAGCTCTGATATTTACAGGAACTAGAGATGGGAATTAGTGGCACTTCTTATCTGAAACAGAGGGTCCCTGGGAGAGTTATGTCTCATGTAACCTCACTGAACACACTTTTTGCTTATCTTACAAGGCTGTTTTCAGATATTATGAACATTTTGGATAATAAGGAAAATGGTTGATAGCCAAATGGCTTTATCTTTCATATTAGAGTCATACCTAACATGAGCTTACATTGAGAATTATCTTGTGAAAGGGTAATACATGACAAATAGTCATTTAGAAATGAGCAGTCAATATTTAAGGAGTTTATCAGATCAAATAAAACGTTGTTGTCTGTAGCAGCTCTTCCTGATGTGCCTATAGTAGTCACAGCACAGAATATTTCTGAATTGTGCTGGTTGCTGTACAAATAGGTAAGAGAGGATCCCTACGTTAGAGAATTTACAATGTAAATGTCAAAATCCGACAGGCTGGGGCCTGTCAGACCAACGTGGGGTGAAAGAGAGTAACAGAGATCTCTGCTCAACTCATCATGCTGGCCAGTGGGAGAATAAGTGTATTTATCTGTTTTCACATTTAGCTAGTTAAAATACACTGAAAGGCTGGTGTAAAGTCTAGTGCTTCCATCCTTAGATGAAATCTTCTTCATGTAAATAGTATGTGGTTCTATAGTCAGGATTGACAAGGAAGATGAGAGCCACCTGCCTTCCACAGACCTTTCCTTGAGACCTGGGTTGCCTGTTGATCAGCTGTAGACACTGTTCACCCCTGGCCACCTCGCTGATCATGTCTCTGACCTGGTCAGGGGGCTGGTTATGGGCCAGATGAATTGCTTGGGATGCCTACTCTCAACAGCCCTGTGGTCCTTCTGTAGTTACCTGACCAAAATTAACCCCCTCTCTCTGACCAGGTACATGCTAGACAACATAAAGAGCATGAAGATATATTCAGGAAGAAGAGGCTGGTGGGTTTTGGAACCTACCTCACATCTCCAAAGCAGAAAAAGCAGTGGGCTGGGTGAATCCCAGGCTTTGATTCAGTTTATCAGCTGCTGTCTCTCTGAAGCCCTGTTCAGAGTGAGATAAGGCGTGTGTGCGCATTTCAGTAGGACGAAAGCAAAGTTGTTTTCAGAGGATATCTGTGACCCCAAGCTGCCAAAGATAGCCTTGCATCTACTTTCCCTGGCTGGAAAAACAGTGCTGTTACTGCAACACATACGAAAGAATCAACCAGCTCTTCTGCAACAGGCTTCCTAGAGAGGTGGTTCATGCCCCAAGCCTGTCAGTGTTTAAGAGGCATTTGGACAATGCCCTTAGTAACATGCTTTAACTTTGGGTCAGCCCTCTATTCTATTCTATTCTATTCTATTCTATTCTATTCTATTCTATTCTATTCTATTCTATTCTATTCTATTCTATTCTATTCTATTCTATTCTATTCTATTCTATTCTATTCTATTCTATAACAGCAGAAAGGAGATAGTCTCATTCATGTTGAGCAAGTAAAATGGGGTATACTTATCTCTATTATTAATATTCATTAAGGAATTAATATTGCCTGCAGCCTTCCACTGAAGCTAACAGAATCATGTACCCATTGTACTGGTGTCTCTTGAAACAGAAGACACGTTCAGTTGTGTGGCTCCCTTTTCTCATCACACACGGACACTATAGATATGGCTGTCTGTGTGGCTGTCTGCTTTTAGGGCATTTGGAAACCATATTCAATGAGTTCCAGACCTGTAAGATGGGTCAGACATCTATTTAGTCTCTGTTTTGTTCTTAATGGGAAGGATTTAATTCAATTTTGTTGTGCAATTTGGGGAAGACAACTTCATTTAAATCTAACCTTTTGTGGGATTGTTTGACCGAGGCAATCTAAACTTTGAGAGTATATTTGTCTTTAAAACCTCTTAAATAACTTCTGAAGGTTGCTTGTGGTTGTTTATTTAGTTGTGCTCAGCGTTGTATAAACACTGCGTAGAAATTCAGTTTAGACTCTTTGATCCAGATAAATAGATATAAACTGTTTAAGAAATAACCTTTCGTCACATATCTAACATTCAGAAATGGCTGACTGGTTTTATAAATATTTGTCAGTATATGCTTTTACCTTTAATAAACCACAGTGCTGTTGTGTCACTGAAAAGACCTCAAATTGGTTGGCTATTGATACACCTCCAGCCTTTAGAGCAGTTGTACTAATTTAAGCCTTATAGGTTCTGCGTAAACGGACTTATTCTACAACCTTCAGTCTCCTCGAGTTTAGAAAGTAGTATGCATATAGAAAGGCAAAAATGGGAATGAAGTTGTGTTGCAGGAGACATTATCTTTTCAGTACTTTGTTCTATCCACTGAGCCGTTTCAGTTGATGAGTGTTTTCTGTAATATGCGTATACTCCACTGTACCATCTCACACTTCTTTTATTTACCGGTGAATAAGATCTGTGGTTTGTGTGGTGTGATATGAAGGAGAACTCCTGAAAGATAAAGCCTGTTGTCAAAACGAGCTAGGGGACATCTGCAACCAGGAGAGGTGGCAAGCTCTCTGAACATGCTTTCCATATAGCAGTGATCTCAGCAGCACTGAGGTGGAGGCCGCACTAAGAACTTTTTCCTAGAGGAGCTTTTTTTTTTTTTAACCTTAATACTGCTCAGTGACTGTAAAGGGAGAGGGGTTAACGATATGGCCTCCAAGTATGGGAGTACACTTGTGTGATTCTCAGGTGCATCTCGTATTTCTTTTTGGACCTTGGGCATGTCCCTGTGTTCTCAGTGTCGGCTCCAGACTCCCTCCTATCTCACACAGCAACGCTGCATCCATCTCCTGGCGGCTGGCATTCTTCTGATCAATGCTTTCTTGATCTTATCCTCCTGCTTGTTCCTATGGCATGAGAATTACAACCGCTTCATTCCCCCTGACTACATGGGGTGCTTCCAGAGGTGATAGATGGGATTGCAGGGCAGGAGCCTGAGTTTCCTGTCGGTTAAAGAAAAAAGGATAATTAACATGTGGAGTGAGGGCAGAGCAGGTCTGTGTAACCGTAGCTGAAGGCTTTTCAAGGCAAGACTTTGACTTGCCTTGAATTGAGGTGCGTTAAAGCAAAACGTTTTTTAAGAAAATAGCCAAGTTGACATGATGAGCTAGAGTCACCTTCCTGTTCCTAAAGGTATTGTGTGGGTTCCCAGTCAGGTTTTAATCTCAAGATAACAACCAAGATAGTAGATAGCATTGCTCCCTCCAGGTGTCCTGTCAAGCCCTTAGGGTCTGGTACCTCTATCCAGGCTGTGCTCAGCTAGAAACAGTTGGAGGTGTTTATGTGACCGCTGCAATCGTGGCTGTGCCAGGAGTTGAATAAAAGACCTGCAAAACTGAACGCATTGAGTTTCTAGGGCTTGAGTTCAGAAAAAAGCAAACCAGATCAAAGACAGCGCTGCTCCTGTACCAGCTCCTGTCCTAACGGTGGGGCAGGAGAGTGGCAGGTAATGGACTCGATTATACACTGAGTTACCAGATCTGAGTTTTACAAAATGGAGGCTCCTGGACATCAAAGCTTGGATGTGGGATGTTTGAGGGCCTCAAAATTTGCGTTTCTCCAGCCTCTAGACTATGGAGACTCAAGTGGCCTGTGCCACCGTGTGCACGGGCTTATAAATCTAAGACAAGTCTACTCCTGTTTGACTCTTAGACTAACACTTGGCATTACTGACTGCTGGTGACCACGTGAAATTACCAGCCTGGGAATGTGTGTGTGTGTGGTCAGAGAGAGGGAGAATGGAGTCACAAAAAAAGGCTGGGAGCTGGTGCAGTAGTCATGAGAAGATGAAGGTACATGTCAAGACATGATCTCTCACGAAGCATGAGTGGTGATGCATCAGCACTGGCTAATCCAAGTCTGTGACATGACCGTAGCACCAGTCCCGTGGCTGGGACCACGGGCTGTCCTCTTCAGTCCAGCTCCCCTTTCTCCAGTTGAGTGCTGGGGTATCAGGATGATTTCACAGCGCAGCTGTCACTGGAATTAAACATTGTTCTGTTTGTAAAATGTGTTCCCTCACTGCCATGCAGCTGTTTGGCATGTTTGATCACTCTCTGATTTCTCCCTAAGCCAGAACACTGCAGCCCCACTACTGGAGAAAAGCAGAGGCAGTTGGGAGACTTGGGCTCTTTCTCTAGTTCTTTTATTGTCATTGACAAAAGCTGATACAGAGCCTTTGGTGCTGGTGGGGAGAACAGAAAACTCCTCCATCAGTTGCTTCTATGCTTCCCCCCTATCTGTCCTTCTGTGCATAGCCACCTCTCATCTTTCTGTGCCCTTTAAGATCATGCTGCTGAGCTCACTTGTGCTGCAAGACCCCTAAAACGTTGGTTCTTGCACCAGCTGACCAGCTCAGCTGCTCACACTCACCTAGAATTTGCTACCCTGTGCCCTCACCTTATGATCAGCTTGTTTGCTATTTACCCACCTGGAGCATGATTAATTTTATGGGCTTTTACTCCGAGGTGAGGTGGCTGTTGCTATATATAGAGCCAGGCTGGGCTGTTGGCATCACTAAGTGACAAGGTGCAATACAGAGATGTTCACGCTCGAGGACAAGCAGGCCACAAGAGCAGAATTTATTAACCTGATGCTTCACCAACTTGTTCACATTGCTTTGGATTAGAGCAAACTCCTCTGTGTGATGTTGTGGGGCAGGTACTGCAGTTCAGACTTTTTAGGTAAGTCCTTAAAATACTTCTGCTGGGATCTAAGATTTTTATCTTTTTTTTTTTAATATGAGAGCAGAACACCTGCTGTAGTAGGGCTTGATTATGGGTTTGGATGGCAGCTCAGGACAAATCAAGATCATAAATAAGGAGTGTTATTGTTTGATTTTTTTTTTTTTTTTTTTTTTTTTCTCTATTGACTTATTTTTTTGCATGCTTCTTTCTTACTGTAGACTATCATAAACTCTTGTTTCTCCTTTCTGTTTTTTATCCTCTTAAGAACCCTCAATACCCTTCAAGGAAAAACTGAAAGATCTTGAAGTGAGGGAGAAGGAATCTGCCACCTTCCAATGTGAAGTGCCTGTTCCTAGTACAGAGACAGCTTGGTTCAAGGAGGAAACCAAACTCCGGCAGAGCAAGAAATACAACATTGAAGAAGAGGGCACGTATCGCCGGCTCACTGTCCAGAATGTCACCGCAGATGATGATGCTGTCTATATCTGTGAGATGAAAGAAGGGAGCAGGACCATTGCAGAGTTGTCTGTCCAAGGTAAAAAAGGCTCTTGCTGTTTCAGGTTGGCCAAGTCTCACCTACCAAATGTGAGATTCACGTATGAGACTCCAGGCTCGACCTTGTGAATGACATTTACCCCACGCATGTGTGCAGTGAAGAGCGGCAGACTCCCTTACAGTGTGAGAGGAGAGCCATGTGTGGTCAGTCAGTGGGTCCCTGGGTCTCTTGCCAGGGTGTATCTGGGACACAGGGTCAGAGAGCAGGGACAGACTGTGTTGCTGCACAAGATATGTCACCTGGTGGGGACCTATGCTTAAGGGGGCTTCCTAGAAGGTAAAGGCCTTGAGCTGTAGTCTAGCATTGTAGATTTTCCTTAACATGATCCCAAGCATCGGTTGTGTCCCCTGGCACTGTCTCACACACATCTTGTCTGGCAAACACAGCGGTGAATCTTGTCTGATAGTGGTGCTGACCACACTGGGAAGCTGGCTTAGCAGCTGTGGTTTATGGTCTGATGGGTGGCGCAGGCTGCGGTCAGCACCAGTATGGTTTCAGACTGGAAACCAGACACACACTCCAGATCACTGACATCTGGGCCTGTTGTCTGGAGTTTGGAAAGCTGATGAGAAAGTGGCAAAATGTGGATATAGATCCATGTCCAAGTCTCCTGAGTCTGGTGGTTTAGGACTGAAGTGCAAGTAGGTGTAGAGCCTGGTATGGTGTAGGTGTCTCACAGCCAGTAGTCACGCACATCAGACACAGACGTGTCTGCAGAAGGAGCCATCGGTTCTGAACTCCATGACTTGCTGTACGAATAAGAACCTACCCATGCAGCTCCAGGCCCTGTAATTTTTATTTTGATGATGCTTATGCTGGAATCAATGACATCTCCTGTAGCGTGAATTGAAGACCTGTAATAGTAACAGGATTGCACTTGTCCTGTCTCATTTGAAGCCCGACTTTACTCCCAGTGAAACCAGAAGTTCTCCGTGACATAAATTGGTGCAAGACAGCTGGGTGCTGTGCATGCTTGTGCAAATTCCTTTTTGTATCACTAGCAAGGAGATGAGAGTGCGTGTGGGGGGAGGCAGAAGGGGAAATTTAATCTGGAGACCCAGGAGAGTTCAGATAGACATCTTTTTGTTACATCTTCTGTTAGGGCTAGACCAGCCAAACACTGTATGAGTGTTTGGCTCCAGTAGGACAGCTGGTATTTGTTTTATTTGTTTGTGCTATGGTACTATGGCATGTTCCATTAAAAAAGAGAGTGACTGAGCCAGGTGGAGCTCTTAGGAGGGAAAGGAGGCAGAGCCTTCCTGGGGGAGCCCTGTGCCTGCTCTGAGGGGAGAAGATTCGAGAGAGCAGGGTGAGGTTGGGTGAATGCAAGAGCTTGGCAGGATGCAAAGGGCTGCAGGGACGGGGATGCTGCTGAGGGCAGCAAGGAGCAGACACGCGGCTGAGATTCGGAGAGGATGAGCAGAGAATCAGGGTCTTGAATCCTGCCGATGAAACATGTGTCTGATCTGCTGCTTCATGAAGGAGTTCAGCATTGCTTCTCATTAAATAGCTCTAGGTGCTTTGCCTGGGTGAGGGCTCTTTTGCCTCACGGGGACGGTTCCAGGACTGGAGCCAGTCACTATCTGTCAACAGGGCTGGTTCCCTGATGCTTTGTCCAAGCTTTGCTGTAAATAGTCACATCTTGTAACTTTGAAGTTATTCTAATAGGTGATAATCATCACAGTCACTTGAAAGGGACACAAATAAGTGAAGTTCATTCCATGTGACTTTCTGGGTTGACTCTAAGAAGAAACCTGAGGTTTTCAGTGTATTTTCTATTAATTCAGGTGACTGGTGTGTTTGCCATCTTGGTTATGCAATCACTGGTAACTTTGGAAGAAAAATCCAAAAGACAGATGAGAGACCTGTCTGGTTTAAGACTGACCTAGTTTAGCAAAGTTTTAATTTGAATTCCCAGTATAGGCGGGCAATGAAAGCCGTATCGCTGTCAAATTTCTTCTTGGCAAGGCCACGTACCTTGTGTTTACCCAACAGCAGACTCCACATGTTAGGCTAGAAACATGAGCGACTGTAGTCAAGCAAGATTGCTTTTTTCCTTTTGAAGGCCAAAAGAAGTCCTTGGGATTATCTGTTCTGTATAACTCGGAGCCTAGGAATTCATTTAGGGATGTCTGCATATTTGTCTACAATGTTTTGATTAGGTGAGAGCTGTTGGCTAGTCCTGTTGTAGTCTGGATGGTCCAGTGTTTCCAGAGACTTTAATATCTGCTGTTTGCTGATCATATTTAATTTCTTATTTAAAGGGAACATCATTAAAAAACTTCCACGAAAGACTGCGGTCTTTGTAAATGATACAGCCATCTTCTGTGTGGAGCTGGACAATGAATGCCAGAACATCCAATGGCTGAAAAATAAAGAAGAAATGAAACCCAGTGATCGAATCTCCATCACATGCTCCGGCAAGCAACATACCATGATCATCCGAGAGTGTAAGATGGAAGACGCTGGTGAGATTGCCTTCCTGGCTGATGAAAGCAGGACTTCTACCCAGTTCACTGTGACCAGTAAGCTTCACTTTTATCTGGCATTGGTGTTGGGCCTTCCCTAGCAAGCAGGTACTCCCATGTTAGCACTGTTGGTTTAGATACTGCCATGGTAAGTCTGTTGTCCAAAGACAGCAGAATGTTCGATATCTGCCACAAAAGGTCGACAGCCTGAACGCTAGCGTTATGAAATACTATGGAGAGATCAAAACAGAGAGAAGAGTCCTGGGGAAAGAACATGGCACAAACGTGTGTCTTCTCTGTACTATTCTCATTTCGTGCTGGAGTAAATGTAAACTGTTAACTGAGTAAAATGCGGGGTAAGGGACATGTGTGTTCCTCCCATCAGGAGGTGCTTAGAAAACATGGTGTAAGTTGCATATGTTGCAGTCACCTTACTTCACTGTACACAGAGCGCTGCGGGTGTCCACCTACACCCTGACCTCTGTTTTCCAAAACTATTAGTTTCTCTGAGGGGCGTTATCAGGTCTTACTATGGGGATAATACTTCTTCTAGCAAATAGGGGCCACTTATCTCTCCCTCTCTCTCTTCACTGAGGATTTGGAGGGGAGAGTCAGCAAACATCCAATTCCTTCCCTATGTCTTGAGCCTACAGAGACATGAGGGTAGTTTGTGGGTACACTGGCTATGATAGGGAAGTGGATAGGTGCCCTGAACACTTTTGGCAGAGTATTTCCATTCTAGCAAGCAAAAACATCTGTGAAGGAACATCTATGTACACGCACATCAAGCATTTCAGGGGCAGTGAAACATTCGCCAAACTTGAAACATCTTACTTTGATTTTAGCGTCTTAAGCTGTTTTCATTAAAGTAAAATAAAATTAAAACAAACAAACAAAAACAAACAAAAAACCAACCAAACAAAAAACCCCCAACAAACTGCAAGAAAAAGGGGAAATGCTTCCTCTTGAAAATATAGTTTCTTTCCTTTTGTGGAGACCAGCAAAGCCATGTCTTCTCTCAACCTCTTTTTGACATAACAAAGCTGGGAAGACCCTGTGAATTGATGGTAGCTATGCTGAAAGAGGGGACCTTTTGGCTTGATTAGCTTTACTTGGGGAGACTGATATAATATGCAGGCTGGAGAATTCCTATGGGTGGTACATCTGATCTGAGTAAGGGTTTCTGCTGACAGAGCAGTAGCAGCAGGTGCAGTGTAGTCAAGATCAGACCCAAAATGAAATTTTAGTGAAGTTGCCTAATTTTATGAATCTTTATTTTGATGGCATTGCATTTCTTAGGCAAAAGCTGCTTCACGTAAAGCAGAGAACTGCACATGGTTTCTGGCTCTGCTGCAGTTCCAATTTGCACGTGAACAGGTCTCCAACTCTAGTCACCATTTGGGAAGAATAATACCTCTTTTCTCCCACCACCACCTCCAAATTGTAATTACTGAGTGGTAAAAAGAAATCTTTAAAAAAAAAAAAAGGTTTATAACTGCTGTTATCTAAACTTGATTGGGGCATTCTGATGCTAGTGAGCTAAAATGAGGGAAAAATGAGGTAAGTGTCACACTTAGCATTGTGACAGTTTCTAAGGTATTTGGAAATCTTTAACATTCAACCGAGCACCTATTCAATGGGAACAGCGAAGTTCAATTTGATTTCAGACTCTGCTGTTGAAGTTATGAAGCAAGGGTTGATTCATGGAATAGAAAAAGGTAAGAAGCTGCCTCCCCACAAACAGGTATCTCTGAACAAAATAATACATTACGGTTTCTGATGGTAAGGTCAAGAGATCTGATTCCAGGGTCTAGTGTTCAGCTTAATGCTACACTAATGGGACCTTTGGCATCCAGCTCTGGGCAGCAGTAACTGACAGGCTGGTAACTGTGCACCCTAAAACACTTATGTGTCCATTTATGTAATGAAGGAAAAGTGTATTGCATTGAGATTTCCTATTTTTACACTTCATGCATATCTGATTAGCTGCTTGAAGAATGCTATGTACTATATTCACATCTTTTTCCATTAACTGAACAAGATTGGTGTTGGCTGTTTTAATAGCATTTATCACGCAAGCAATGTTTATATATTATTTGCTCAGTATTTTGCGTTGTTACTATGCCCGTTTTACAGATGGGTAAACTGAGGCAGAGAGATGATCAGTTGTCCCAGTGTTCAGTTCTTAGTCAGGCTAATTGTACGGGCTCCCTCTATAGTCATTAATACTTGAGTATCTACAACGTGCGACTCATTTCACCTGTCTCACATGCCTTCTTTAAGCTGGGATGAATTGCTCCTGAGTGTGTTGTTCTCCACGGGGTTACAGTTGGAGTCTGGTTGACTCACTTAAACCAGACACCTTCAGATAGTCAAAATTAAATGAAATTAATCCTTTACCGTGTTAGTAGATGTAACTAGAGCATATCGGATAATTACTAGCCTCTTGACCGTATCAGTGGCAGCACATAGTGAATAACCCTGATGGGACTTGAGCCTTCTCTACAGTGTTCAAGAGGAATGAGAGGGTGAAAGTAAATCTTCATTATGCAGGTACCTGCAGGGCAAAATTTGTGACCTCAGGTACTGTAAAACAGCCACATCTCCTCAATTATAAGGTCTGACGGTGGGGACATTTCTTTGTCATTTCCTTTTGAAGTTAATTCCTCAACCCCAAAAGTTGGCTCTCTAGAAATTACTAAAACAGAGATCCCCAAGGATAGCTATCATTCTTTGGAGACAAAGTTATAACATGCCTTCTGAGTGGAGGTAGCAGAAAATTCAGAAACAGGACAGAGGACAGATACCCAGATGAAAGCAGCTGCAGAGAACAGCCAAGCCTGAAAATTTAAGCCTGTGAATTGTTCATTGTAGACTCTTTGTCTGTGCAGACAATTGTGATATTGTGTTGAAATCACATGTTTAGCTGTGGAAGTAGAAGTATTGTACATCTTTGTGTAACACAGCCCCAAAACATTTTCTATCAATTCTCTTGCTTTTCCATCTCACATCAATGTTTTATGGAGGTTTATTAAACAAGAGTAGCTTTTAGTCCAGTGTAAGATTTTTCAGTGAGGCAGGGTGGCTTTTCCACTTGCATAAACTTCTTGCTCTGTTTTTTTTTTTTTGTTTTTTTTTTTCCCCTTGTGTAGCTCCCAAAAAACCTCCCACCCAACCCCCAAGTGACCCTGTGGTGAAAAATAAAACAGAAACCTCAGTGACGCTAGCATGGTCCCCTCCGAAGATGGACCGCCCCATTCCAATCAATGGTTACATTGTGGAACGCAAGAAACTAACTGGCTTTACCTGGGTGAGGTGCCATGAGTCTCACGTCCCTGTCCCAGAGTTCACGGTGAGCAACCTGTCGGAAGAGGCTGACTATCAGTTCAGAGTGTCTGCAGTCAACGCTTATGGACAGAGTCCCTACCTGGAGTTCCCGGGCAGCATGCACCTCGGTGAGCACAAAACCATCATAAAATGGGTCGGTCTGTGCTGATCTGCCATGTGGGTGCTCTAAAGACGCTTCCCATGACTTTGAGGAGGATAGAGCAATTGCACAGCAAAACCTTTTTCCCTTCACTGCTACTTCTTCTGTTTCATTTCAACCACTGACCATCGCCAAAATGATGGTGATGGGGTTGCTGTGGTAGAGCTGTGAGTATGCTTATGTTCCAACATCTCACATCAGGCTGTGAGAGAGGCGGAGCTCTCTGCAATGGACCTTAAGCCTGTAAGTGCTTCTTCTAGACCTGGTATGAAAGGAAAATTTGAGGTGGGCTTATGATATAATTTTTGGTATATAAATGAGATCTCAAACTTGCACCTAGAGGATATTTATGGGTGATCATACTGCCATGAAACCCAGGTTCCAATCAGTTTCTCTTTAATCTTAGAGTTACTAGGAGAAATGTGGGGGGTTTACTTTATTTCTAGGGTGCCAATGTGCCCATAGAATCATTGTGAGCAATGGGATTGCTTCTTCCTTTGATTTGTTGTGGTTCAGACTTGTTATGCCTTTAAACATCTTGGGGGGGGGGGGGGGGGGGGGGGAATATGCCTGTTTTTGTTGTCCATCCCCTGAAGAAAAAGGACTTACCCTAATGCCAGAGGTCAGTTATCTGCAGCTGTAGAAATCAAATCCTGTTGACTAACTATGCATTGTCTTCAGTGCATGCAAATTGTATTAGGCTGCAGGATTTTATTCTCATGTCTTGTTTATCCCAAGAGCTTTGTCCTTAGAAAGGACTATTCTCCAGCATGGCAGTCTTGTGTACTCTGGTCTCAGATACATGTTGTTCTTCTTCCCCAGAACCAGTCCCGGCTGTGAAAACCCCCCTGAAAACTGTTGAAGCTGTACCTGGAGGGGATGCCCTCTTTACTGTTGACCTCACGACGACATGTTCCGGCACTTGGTACCTTAATGGTAAAGCCTTACAGGAAAGTGAGACCTACATCATTAAGAGAACCCAAACTACTCACACCCTAATCATAAAGAATGTCACCAAAAATGATGATGGAGCAGAAGTGAAATTTGTTGCCAATAACGTTGACACCAGCACCAAGATGAGAGTGAAAGGTATTTACTTTGATCATTGTCCTCTCTTCTTCCAGTCAAGGGACGGTTGCTGTGACCTGATGATTAGAACTGGGGCTGGAGGCTTTCACTGATGCCTGGTCTGTAGGAAGTACCTGAAATTACATCATATGAACTGATGTGGGTCCTGGTAATGACCTTACCACGATAGCACAGAATTCCAAGTGAGACAATCTAGCCAGCTGGTTGGTATCGGAACTAGACTGCTTAACATCAGCTCATGAATTTCTGCAGTTCACAACCATCGGTGACTGGGTTCTGCCACCAGATCTACCACTGAGTCACCTTAGATGAATAATTTCAGCTCCAGGTTTGACTAGTCTTTCTGACTGTAGTGGAGTCCTTCAAAAGTAAAGGAGCATTCATTACTAAAAAAGTTTTTATTTCTTGGAGGCTTTTTAGTCTGCCACAGATGTGTATGATGTACAAGTTAGTATCATGTAATTTGATTTAGCATTGAATTGGGTGCTCCAGCTTTCCTCTATGAAATAACGATAAGATCTGTATCTACCCACATTGCATGGCAAAAAGTAATGAACAGACATTCATTCTGGAAGGATGTTTGACTTTGGGTGAAAATCTCTGCAGAAGCATGTTTAGAATATTATTAATCAGCAGAAAGTTGTGTATTTTTTTTTTCTTATTGACTCTGGCAATAAAACCAGATTTGGTCTCCTGAACTGGAAAGAATTTCTTGGTGTTGACATGAGTATGAGGGCAGGAACAGGACCTAATACTTTTTCAAAGATCTCACGGTCTACGGCAGACACATCAGGGACAAGTTATCCCGATATAACTTGAAATAACAAGGCCTTTGCTCCTGACAGGTGCTGCAGCGAGATTTACCAACAGGAGCAGAGATATAGAAAAGGTCTCCGCTCGGCTGCGGGAGGAAGCCAAACTTCAGGCTGAGCTTTCGGACACAGATGCTACTGTGAAGTGGATGAAGGATGGGAAAGAGCTCAAGGCCAGTGAAAAATATGAACTTCAAATTGTGGGGAAGAGGCACATCCTGAAAATTCGCAACACTGCAGCAGAGGATGCTGGAGTTTATGAGTGCATTTGTGAAGGGGATAAAATGCTTTATCAGCTTTCAGTGAAAGGTATGTGACTGCCTGCGTTGCTTTGTATTAATGACCTGCTCCTGCCCTAAGCCAGTAGAGTCATTAAAAGACAGAAAGGGACTGTTCCACAGGCAGTGCAGCGAGTTATGGTAACTCCTCATCAACATTTAGTGTTGACAGTGTCTGTAGTCCCAGAGTAGGAGAACTTGAGAGTAAACTTGGGATCTAACACTATCTCGGTGGCAAGAGCTGTGCTTTCACTCAAATTGATGTCTTGTTATTTCACAAGATTGAATGGTAGGTAATGAAAAGGTGCTCTTGTGATGAAGAATTTCAGCCACAGGAGCAGGACATGATGCACGTGATCCCATGTCTGCCCTAGACTTGCTGTGTGATATCAGACAAGTCACTGAGGAGCTAGTTCAGCTGTGATTAAAACTCTGATGGACCAAGATCATCTTGGCATTGTGGGATTTTTTTAGGTATTTGTTCGGTTTTTGTTTTCTGTCAATACCCTGTTGAATAAGAACAGACCTTTCCAGGGCACATTGGATGGCTTGACTCATTTCTGTTTGCAAGGTATTCAATGGAGGGCTGTATAGAACAGACAGCAAAAGGTCATTTTCTTTTAATATTTCCCATTTGTTAGACTTGAACAAGTACTGTTTTATAGCTGTCCCATTGTTCAGCTGTTCTTGTTTGCATGGCAGTCCCTTCCATCCTGATTGCCTGCCACCTAGCTGGTGGGCACATCCACTCCCAGAGCAAGGCATGGAGTATTGAACCTTTACCCTGAAACCAACAGCATTAAGCCTCCCTCTTACAAGCCTTCCAGTCTGTGCAAGCTGTTATGAACTAGTTCATAGGAGAGTTTCCTCTGCCTTGAATGAGACCAGGTTTTGGGTGAAAAGCCCTAGCGTATCCCCAGATAATATACTCATGGGTATCATCTAGATGTCTACTGAGGTTCAGAGTACAAAACCTGCCTCCAAGACAGTCTAGCCTGCTGTCAGACATTGTCTAGGGTGAGCTTCATAGTTATTTTACTTTGAACTGGGAAGTTCATTTTGTAAGCCATTTGATTTCTGTGTTCTGTCGCATAACCCGCCCATCACCTTCCCAGCAATGATCATACTGTTGCTACACTGAGTACATATGAGGTGCTTCATCATCTTATTCTGCTGGCTTCTCACCCTCCTTGGTCTCTGTAGAAACAGCAAAGCCCCAGAGTAACATATGTGTTCTGCTTTTGACAACTTGCTTGGTTATTCTCAAAGAGCAAATTCAAAAGAGGCACGAAGAAAGCTGGAAAAAAATAATTCAAAAATGTGACTACATTTATGGAGGGAGGAATTTGTTGTCCATATTTGTCAGCTGTTCTTAAGGTTCTTCTCTCTCTCTCTCTCTCTCTCTCTCTCTCTGCCTCTTTAGCATCATTTTTCACACTGGCAGATCTACCCACAGCTTTAATTGAATTAGCTGATGGATGTTTCTATGTGCTTTTCACTGTAATGTGGCTATCAAATGAGTAATCAATGTTGTTATTTTAAAATCTGTGTTGACAAGCTGTAACTTAAATATCTGCTGTTTGTAGCTTGATTCCTGGAGAATCAGCTTTGATATATCTCATCCTTGTAGGATGAGGCTCACAAGTGCTGTCCCAGTATTTTACCTTTCAGCATTGGCACCTTTTATCTGTTCCTCCTGTAAATCAGACACAGCTAGCTGGTGAATCATCTGATATGCAGGGCAGCTGTGTCTGGCACATGGGCATCACGTGGCTGCCGAGAGGCCACCATGCTGAGCCATGGCCAGAGGTGTGTCACTTGCTGGGCCTCCTGCCCAAAAAAGCCCTGCTAGAAGATGCACTTGCCATTTATCACTGCAGTCCCTCCACCGCCATGAGACTTCACGTGCCAGGCATCCTCTGACACATGACCTCTTGCATCGAAAGGGGACATCTGAGAAGTCTCCTTCAGACTGCCATGGTTGCATTTTTCACTCTGGTTTTCTCAGGAATTGGAAGGTGCATGAATGAATCCATCTCCCTCTTCTTCCTCTCAAACCTTTTAACCTGTGGATTGAGTTCTAGTAATGCTGGTGCAGAAGTAGAGGTCTCAGCAGTGCTCGGCCCCTGCAGGCTTCATGGGCATAGGTGGTTGGGTAGAGAACAACTGTGGTGTTGTCCTACTGAAGAGAAAGCTCCACCATTACAAGTCATTAGAGAAACAAGTGGAAACAGAGGCCCCAAGAAAAAACAATCAAAAGGAGGTTTTCCCTGGTTTAAATGCTTCTGGTATGACTTCTTTACCCATAGATATTGCTTCTAATAAGCAGACTTGGTAAACACTAGAAAACAGGGCTGGTAGGGATGTGGAGAGGTCAAATGCAGGCTTCTGTCCCTGCCAGAAGCTGGTGATTGAATGGAGTCCCTTGATGTCGCGAAGGAACGGTTAGGTCGCTTAAATAATCACCGCCACAGATATTTGTAAATAGTGATTTTAATAGAAATTTATAAAAGGGTGATTTAACAGAGTTAAAGAAATCACAAGAACTTAGTAGTAACTAATCCTTGGTTACTCTAGCATCTACAAGTGATTAAATAAAGCTTACTACAGTATTTGTATAATACACACACACAATCACACAATAGGTGTAATAAAAGAATACCTCTTAAAATCCCTCGTGAGTTTGATATGTGCAGATAAAGATACCCATCAAAAATTCCCCTCGAGTTCAGTGAAATACTTGCTTCAATGATTGTCTCAATAGGTGAAGGGTTGAACCTCAAGGAGTGAAGGGCGCTGGAGGTCAGCCCACGTCCTCTTGCGAGGCCTTCATATGCAAACTGAAGAGTTTGCAGGTCTGAGAGGCTTCCCACTCAGAGGGAGATACTGGTGCAGCCCACTGCGGTCCAGAGGAGCTCAAAGGGTCTCCCGTGGTACTGCTGTTTATAGGGTTGTGAGATGATTGGCTTTAGGCATCAGTAAATTTCCATTCTGGCCACAGCTGCGGTTGGTTATTGCCGAGTTCTCATTAACCTCAGGAAGGCAGGTATGATCCTCCTGTATTGCTCTGCCTGAGTTACGATCCCACAATGAGTGTTCCCAGGCTGTCAGGGGGTGACTGATGATGCCAGGTGGGATCAAGGCATTCTTGTTCTCCAGCTCAACCATGCAAGAGTGCCTGGTATGACCAAGGGGCGCCTGATCGCCAGACTCATTGCTCAGAGGCCAAACCTTGGCAGGGGTCCCTGTGTTCGTAAGGTGGTCCAGAGGAAAGGGGAGGGGGGATGCACCACCACAGAGGACCAGAACTGGAGAGGCCTTGGCTGCACTGTCATGTCCTTCCCTTCCCTTCCCTTCCCCTGTTTATTTGCTTGTTGGGTATTTCGCAGTCTTAGATTGGGGGAGATTTGGGACTGGGGATTACTTTTTCTTTCTTACCTGTGTACTGGTTGGCAAGTCAATTCACTCTTCATTTTTAGGTCTCCAGACTCTGGCACTGTACAAGCCGGTGAATATTGGTTCCCTACCAAATAATTGTAATTAAAAGCACTACCACAGACTTGGAAAAATCTAATGTACTTAAAAGCAAGGAAACTAAATGCAACATCCATCCTTGTGGGTAGGGCCTTTGAGCTAAAGGAGAACCTCGATTGGGTTGCACCAGGAAGTAGCACTGATAATAACGCCTTTGGAGCAAAAAGTCTGGGAAAGTCACACGTAGCTGGTCCAGACCATGGACTGTAACTGCTTGATACAGTATCAGCAGTGGAAGCTAATAACTGCTCTTGCCAGGCATTCTGCAGAGAGTTGCTAATTTGTATTGTGCAAGCATGTTCTTGAAATTAAGGAAAAAAAAGCATAAGTAATCAAGGCTTTGATTTTAGTAGCTTTGACTGCACAGTCCCAACAAAGTGACTTGATTGTGTGTATTGTTGTAAAATAATATGTTAAGAAGATGTTTGAAAATTAATTCCATTACCTAGAGTGAAATGGGACTGTGGGTTTAAGCATATTTTTAGCTAAGATATTGGTGGGTTTTTGAATCTTTGCTTTGAGGCAATTAGTGACTCAATTATTCTACTATGTGTTAATATCGTGCCAGGTTTATTATTTACCTTTTATGCTCCACTTAATTTCCAGGAAAAATTTCTTTTCATTTCAGTCCTATGTGATATCTGTATAGATTTTTAATTTAATATAACTTTTAATTTCTCTAGATTACATTTTAACCTCTTTTAGAGTCAATTTATTTGTCAGGTGGTTACACCACAATGATTGAATAACCTCCATTGCTTTCCCTCCTATTTGCTTGTGTCATATCTTTCCTCACCTCCCCTAGATATCTTCTTAAAGTCCTATTGCCTAGGACTTCCTCTCCTGTTGGCTCAGCCTCCTGTGTTGTATGTGCTCTGGTTTTTGGATGTATGATGATCAGGTATATGGTTTATAAAGGCTGGATTTTGGCTGCTGCTGCATTGGAATCTAGTAATTAGATCCTTAATTAAACACGCAAATTTAGTCTGATGATATATTAATACGTAATGTAGATGTAAGTCTTGTATATATTTACTGATGTCCACACAACTCTTTACCAGTGCTGTGCGTCTATATTTTGTTTCAGCACTTGCAAACTTCATAAACAAAGAGAAAACTGGAGGAGTTATCAGGGCTGTTGTTGGAAAACAGGCTGAATTTGTTTCTGAGACCTCTGAGGCCAACATCATGGTTAAGTGGTACAAAGATGGCAAAGAAATCACAGCCAGCAAGAAATTCACCATGGAAGATAAAGGAAAACTGCATAAACTTGTGGCTTCAGCTGTGACGAAAGAAGATGAAGGAACATACACATGCAAAATTGGAGATGACACTCTTATTTTTGATTTAAAAGTCTCAGGTAAGTTTGTGATGCAAGTATGGGATCAGAGTCTGTGTTAGAACTCAGGACTTGGTTCATTATAATTGTCTTACCTTTTTTGCCAGTTTTTTGGGCCACGATTGCACAGTACTACTTCAGACACTCTGACCCCTATTGCAATCCCTATGCAAATCCACAATATGGACAAATAATATAACGGTGCTGTTACATATTGAAGTTAGTGCAAGATTTTACTAGGGTTGGAGTGATGACTCAAATAACACTCTGGCTGAACAGGCTGAGAGCCACATCTGGCCTTTATTCTTTTAGCTCAGGGATTCCCTCAGCATATACATCCTCTAGGACCACCTTGGTCAGGAGGTTCAAAAAGTCTTACTGTGAAAGCCCCATGTCCTCCTCCAAGTTTAACTCCTGATTTTGAGAGTTAAGCATCTCCTGCTGTTCCCGAAGGACACTATGATCTCTGAGACATCTCCCTGTAGTACTGTAAGTGAAGCCATTAGCCCATGGCACATGCCCATCAGCACAAAGCACATGCTAAAACACGTGGCTGTCAGGTCAAGCCCAGAACAGAAATGCTCGTCACTGATTCATTCCAGTCCAGGATGGAGCCAGAGTGTAAAATGACACAAGAATTTATCTGTGAAATTCAATATCTGTGAAATTCAACTGATTCAATTTGCATTGCCTGGTGGGAACCTTTCTTCCAAAAGTGGTTTTCTGACTTATGTCTGGAGCCTAATTTCTAACCCAGTCCTAAGTTACAAATTGCAACTCTACTGAAAGCTTCTCACGGTGTGTCTACATGCTGCAGTGCAATGCAATTTAAGAGAAGTAACAACTGAGTGCTTGTCACCTGTAGCAGTACATCCATGTCACTATGATGCTGTCCGTCAGCTAACTAAAAACTCATCAGAGCTGATTAATCTAACACAGCACTGGTCTTGAGTGATTGCTACACGGTTTACTGAGCTAGAGGGATTGCTTCCAGTTTACAGCTGGTGTTTGCTCAGGTATTCACTCCGCATGCTGCCTCCAGTTCTCTTTGGCTGAGAATCCAACAGTATGCAATTTCAATTTGAGCGTGATTCATAGTTCTTGACTTTACCCATTGAAAAATTGGTCTAAAAGAGCCAACCAGGCTCTATCCAAACTGAGTGATGCAGAGTGAAAGGTACCCTCAAAAGGCAATTTATACCAGCTGATTTATGCTGTCTGACGAGAGCTATCTAAGATGGATTTAAAAAATTTTCTGGAGCAGCCTTTGAAATCAAGTACAGAGGAAGCCTGCACGGTTACCTGAGACTGGATACTTAACTTTTTGATGGCCATGTGTAGCTTAGATGAATCTCACCTGTAACTCCTGTGACAAAACATCACATGGCTCAGACAAAGAAAACTGGTATCTAAGTACCTGTGTGTCTCCATTAACTTTTTGATGAACAAGGACTGATTTACAGCCTGTTAACAAAACCTTAGCTAAGGCAACTTCCACCTTGTTTCACATGTCACCATACAAAGTTTCCAGAGCGCTCAGAAGCACTGCACAGTCAGGGGATGCTCTTAGGACAGGGAGGTAATCTGTCTTTATGGTAATGAGTTACCCCAATAATCCTGAACTGCAGGACTCTGAAAGGACTATCCTTCCTTGGTCATCTAATTTTTTTCAAAATAGATCAGTCCTAATGATTAGAATTTTAAATGAAATATTTGTTCTCTGATGCCACAGACGTGCCTGGCATGGGTGTAGCATAACAATTGTCCTTGGGATACTCAGTGACTGAAAGCAACAGTTGCTGCTAAAAGCAATGCAATACTAAGCTTAAGGTTGGGTGTAACTGACAGCCATCAGCTTGCTCTTCAGGCAAGGGCTGGCTTGATGGAATGCAGGGTATGAAATACCTGACATGCTCATCAAATATTGCTCGTTAGCTTAGGGACAGGGTGTGGTGTATAGGTTTGCTCACATTTTACATGTAAGGTGCCTGTCTCCACTTAGTTGCCTTCGCTTTTACCTTTACAAATATACTTAGAAAAAACCTAAGTTGGTTAAAAAATGCTGTATTGTTGCTGCATACATGACACGCTGTGTGTTTGCGTGTGCATGCATAGCTCGTGTGTGGCCAACAGTCTGCACCGTCAGTGGAGTTCGAGCTGAGGTATCGAAGCAGGAACCTCTACTGCTTGAGCTATATGAATTGTGAGCAGTTGAGTTCTCTACTGTGAAGATCAGTTTCAGCAGAAAGGTGTGATAATATTAGCTTATATATTAACTTAATCCTCTTGAAGTTGGAGAATATCTTATCAATGAGATTATCCCATATGTACCCTGATCTGGGGAAGAATTAGTCCAGTGGGACTGATATTGTAAACATGAGGCTGCAGGAATGGGCTCAAAAACATGTAAAAGAAGGCTCCTCATCACTTACAACAAGATTTTCTGAGACTTCTTAGATCTTTTCAAAGTTGTTTGTGGACTCAGGCATCAATACATATTCCCTAGAGCTTGCTTGAAATTAGAAACAAGGAGTGGTGATTAAAGTATCAGCAACTTGAGGGCATCTCAGCTTGATTTAAAAGGTCCAGAAGGATGTAGGAGAGATGAATGTGATTGCGCTGTAACTGAGAGCAATTATCTGAAGATCAGAGAAGGAGTTTGCACCATCTGTCAGAAAGTCAGGCATCAACATTCACGTGTGTGATGAGACAGGAGCAATGAATTAGAGCACACGTCAGGCTTTATGGTCTCGTGATGTTGGTCCAGGTTCTGCTCATGGCTCTGTGCGCATACAACTCTGGTAGTAGAAACCACTGTGTCTGTGCTCTGTAAGAGCTTTCATGCCTGACTTCTGAAAGGGGGGCAGAAAATGGATGGATATCACTTAGGTGGATTTTGGTTATGAATCCAGGTAGGTATAGATCCACGTCTGTCTAGAACTTAAGGCTAGTATTAATGCCACAGTGTAGACCTAATAGGCTGATATAGTATAAAGGATTCATCAATACCCAGCTCCCAAACTGGAGACCATTATGTACTAACTCTCTGGATGACTTAAAACTTGGACAATGAGTTCCCCAGTAGAGATAATGCTGCTGTATCTCAGGAGGACCTTTTCTGACTCATAACCACAGTTTATTGCCATAACTGTTAACACACTGTCATAGTTACATTGCAACAGCACCATGCACACATATCTACTTTTACACCTCCAGAGGTGAAACCTGATCACCCAAGTGTGACTAGCAATGAAATAATGGTCAGTCATTACTGTATCTTAACATTGTGCTGATAAGCCTGAATCAAGGCATAAACTGTTTCTTCTTTTTCTTTTCAGATGAAGCTGTTAATTTTGTCAACAAACCCAAAACAACTCCAGAAATATCAGTCAGTCCTTCTGAAACCCTTGAGCTGGTGTGCGAGGTGTCAGCTGCAAGTGGAGCTGTGGTATGGAAGAAGGATCGAACCGAGGTGAAGCAGGACCAGAGGACAACAGTCATCTCTCAGGGGACACACCGCAAACTCATCATCAAGAAGGTGACACAGCAAGACCAAGGGAGCTATACGTGTGAAACGAAGGATGACAGAATGACATTCCAAGTCAAAGTCAGAGGTGAGAAAATGCTGGAAACGCCAAAGATAAAGGAATATTCCATTTTGGGTAGTAACTTACATTCGGAGGATCATCTCACAACCTCTCTAGGATGAAATATTTCAGCTGTAGGACTTGATTTCCAGCCAACTGTTATATCAACATTTTATACACACATTTTTGCATCCATGACTAGTTGTAACCACAAAAAAATAATTGGCAAGGATGATAACTTCTGCACCTCTCACAATTAGCTGGTGTGTCTGCAGAAAAACTCCTGTAGAATCACAGTGTGAGGCCATAACAGGGGTGCAGGGGTAGATAAAAGGGAAGAGGTAGCTGTTTGAAGAGTTCTGATTAGATGGAGAAGGGCTGAATATGAGTGACCCAAACAGGCAGAAAAAGAGCAATGGTTCCTGGATATGAGGATACAAGGGCTGTTCCCTTCAGATTCACTGGAAGATTGGATAAACATAGGAAGAGAAAAAGAGAGATGAGGGACAAGGGATCAGGCAGTGCATGTTGGTGCTCTGAGTCCCAGGTTCAAATCTGTGCTCAAATTGTGAGTTTTCTAACTTTATCCGAGAAATCCCATACCCCTATGCACCTCTTATTGGCAAAATAGAGATGAAGGTGCTTTCTTGTCTTAAAAGGCCATCATGATAGTACCTGTCAGGGGCAAGTGTAGTGAAATAGGGGAAATTAGATTAAGCACTGGAGAAGACAACTGAAAAAAGCTATGTGTGACTATGGTGATTTTCTTACAGAGACAGAAGACGTGTTTACAAACAAGGACAAGGTACAAAAGGAGGTGAAGGCTGTACTGACGCAAAACGCCACGCTGAGCTGTGAGGTGGCCCAGGAGAAGACCGATGTGAAATGGTACAAGGAGGGGAAACTGATCACCTCCAGCAAGAAGTTCAAGGTGGAGTCGGAGGGCAAATTGCGTCGCCTGGTGGTGGGCCAGGTGGAGAAGAAAGATGCTGGGGAGTACACCTGCGAGGCTGCTGGCCAGAAACTGACCTTCAAGATTGTCGTCACAGGTGAGAGTCATTTCATTGGCTTTTCTTTGTGTCTGGGTGTTTTCTACTGTTTTCTCTGTCAAAATACTAGAAATGCTGTTACAGTACTTTCTGATGTTGGTCTGAGCTATCATTTCAGTGAGGTTTTGTAGGACTGGGCAGACCTACCGGTTACCTGTAGGTATCCTGATATCAGCTCCTCAACTCCCTGTACATCTCCTTAGTCTCAGATAGTGAATCAAGAGTTTTCATTAGCAGGCACTGTGCTAAAGGACCTCTTCCAATTTGATCCTCAGTATTGGTATTATTGCTATTCATTCATGAAAGTCACTGTTTTCTTCCCTCTTTGTTTCATTTTTTCTCTGTACAATGTCCTCCCCCCCCCCCCCCCCCCAAAAAAAAAAAAAAAACCAGAATTGCTTCAATTATTCCACAGTCTGGCTGTGCAAACACATATGTGAACACAGCCTTATAACTCCATGCACCATAAAACTTTTGTGGATGATGAATGGAAATGGATACAGATATCTGCAACTTGAATTATGATTTGTATTTAACTTTTCATCCAGCTCTTCCCCTACCACTTCTTTCACCTGTCATCAGATACCCAATTGTGATTTGTAAAGCTATGAGAAGTGATGCAAATACTTACCTGTCAAGCGATATTTAAACAGTAGCATTTACAAGATGCCTGCTTTATTGTGGCTGCATTGAGAATGTTTGGGAGGCTGCACTGAGAACGTTTGAGGGTTGATGGTAGTGCGTTGTTGTAAAAAATTTTGTATCAGCTGCACTGCACATATCTGCAATCTGCTGAATCCAAAGGTGATGACTGTTCATTGTGATTTCTACGTCTGTAATGACCACTCGGGAGTCCAGGAATGTTTGTATTTGCATTTTTCTCCTGAACAACATGATTTGGAGTCTGAGAATTTAGTACTGAGGCTGTTCTTTCACTCTGACTACACTAGCAATTTCTTTGGTCTCAGTATATTTTGCAAGAGGTCCAGTAAATTTTATCTCAGGCTCCAGGCAGCCATGGGCATGTCAGCTACATTCTGAGTGATCATTTCAGAATTGGATGATAAGAAAAGGTTTGGGTTTGTTTTGTTCATATTCATAATACTCTACTGCCTTTGCAGCTGAATGCCTCTCTGTTAACGTTACAGTTCTTGTCTCGTAGTCTGAGCTGATCAGAACAGGGAATCTATTTTCTCCTCTGCTTTTTTACGGCACCAAACACACTGGGACAATAATGCTGGTAGAGGTCTGGCATTTTATCAGCTATGTAGAAGAGCAACTGCAGTGGGAGTATATTGACTTTCCGGCTCGCAGCCATGCTGGAGACCTGAAGCCCTTGCAGGGCATAGCTCGAGTGCTGTTCCCTTCTAAAGACTGCAGTCTTTACCGCTCGCCCGCTGTCTTGGACCATCCTGCTCCCTCCATCTTCTATGTGCAAGGTGCAAACTGCTGCTGTAGCATTAAGCTTTGCTGCTCCCCAGAGCATATATTGTAAGCCATCAGCTGTTACGTGTCCCTGCTCTGCGAGGGGCACACAGGGTGTGAACTGGGGCACTTTGGCCCTTTTTCATTAATTGTGTAGCTCGTGCTTTTGGCTCAGGGAAGGATGGATTACAGTAAGGCTAGGTTTGAGGCATCTTTCAGAGAAAATGCAACATGGACATTGTTAGAAAGGCCATTGGTATAAATAAAGTTAATGCTCAGCTGCTGAAACCAGCTCATACATTACTGCAGAGGTGTAGGCAGAAAACGCAGAAATTCAGTGCTTTTACACCTGAATTTCTCTAGCTGAGGACTATTCTTAGCTGTCTGCCTCAGAAACCAAAGGTTTTCAGTTCTCTTTCAAACCAAATGACTTCATGGCTGCACAGGGTAATGGAACACCTTTCCCCCTCTGTCGTAAGTGGGGAGTGCTTGCCTAGCTACTGTTGCTGTATTTCTCATGTGTACAACTGTAACATGACATGCAAGTCCAGCACTCACTGGAAAATGATCTAGTGTGAAAGTCACGAGGGATTATGAGTACTCCAAGTGGTCAGCTCTTTTGCTGCAGAAATCCTCACCTTACTGGATTATCCCAAAGTGCAGTGGCTTTCTGGGTCTTAATTTATCCTGTTACCATTGCACTTAGAAAGCTTTTCAGGGTTCCTGTACTCCAGGGCTCCACTGGTAGCACAAAGCCTCCCCTATTTAAGGACAGCCTGAAGGTTAGATGCTCAGTGCTGAGTATTGGGAGGGAGCTATAGCTTTTTTGGCTAAATATACAAAGAATCAGGTGCTGCACACCTTGGGACTGGGCTAGACAAGGAGCCAAAAGAGCTGATTCTGAAATATCATTATTTCAAGATTCATGCTATATGGTGAAATCCTTCTTTGAAGTTGGTGAAAGCTCCATGTCCTGAAAATGGTTTTCCTCGGTTTCAGTGGAACTTTGCTAACCAGTTTCAGCTGAGGCTGGAAATGTTATCTGCACTGAATATTAGTTTTAACTTTAAAATAAGTTTCTAAGGCATATTACTGGCTAGTGTAAATCACTTCATAAGCTGATTAAAAGTTTTAGTCGCATTTCCTATCACTATAAAAATGGTTTATATTAAAGGGCAAGAATGCAGAGGACAAGTAACCCACTGGAATGTTTCTGCCCTGCTAACCTGAAATTTTAAATACAGTGCCCATTGACACAGACTGGTTTGCAGCTTATTTGTTTAGTGCCCCCTGCGTATTCACAGTCCAAGCTGTAGATGGAAGTTGACGTGTTTATATTTTTGCAACCAGTTTTGAATGCAAACCATGGTGTGTGCTCAAGCTTTTTAGATATCAAAATGCTGCTTAATCTGCAGTGGGCTGATGTGCGCCTTTGAGGAGTTTTGCATCACCCCGCACAGGCCATGTACACTGCCTCGTTAATGACACCTTAATGACAATGACACCTCCTCACACCCCTTCTACAGCCAATATAAACAGAGGAGCTCAAATTTAGAGCACATAAGCTGGGTTCCTGCTCCAGCTTGCTCCCTGCAGGACCTCTCTCTTTCCACAGACTGTGCAATATTCATGGTAAGCCTATGATGTGGCTCCCAGGATTGCATGTAGTGCCACGGTCAGCAGTGTAGGAACTTGACCTGAGCTTACCCCTACTCCTTACCCTCCCAGGCAGCTGCCGCCCCTCAGAGTGCAGACATGACAGAGACAGTAGACAGAGGAGAAAGTCGTCAAGGAGGAGTAAAGGGTGGCACTAGGAGGCTGCAGAGGGTGACTGGGGGGAGGAAGGGAGTAGCACAGGTTATGGAAGGGGTTCACCATGACTGCCAGGAGAACCAAGAGCTTCCCAGGTCACCTTAACCAGGTAACCTGGATGCCTGAAGCTGGGTGGATGAATCATCTTCCATGCTTGCACTCCAACTGAAGGGCAATGGTAACCCCATACACTTGCTAGTCCAGCATTTATTTTTGGAGCTTGTGCTTCTGTAGCAGTGAAATCACGGACTTCAATGCTCAACCTGGGACCCAAATAGGCATAGGCTGCCTATGCTAAATGCTGGACGGTTGTTGCTATGTGATGTCCATCATGTAGGCATCCCAGAAATATTTTACACTTCTTGTGCAGTTATTTCTTAAGGTAAATCAGTGGAAAAAAATGTGGCAGCCCATTTATTTACGGTCTATTTGTCCTCACACATCTTGAATGTACACTAATATAAAAGCTAACAGTGACCACACCAGTTGTTGGTAGAAGGAGAATCGGGTAAAACAGTCATTAAAGTAATTGGTAAAAGATGCAAATTATCAGTCAGTCCTACTTAGCCAGGTGACAATTGAATCTTTTTCAATGCATATACCCAATTAACTACTAATTGCATACAATATCATTTTGATGCCAACTCCACTTGTTGAAATGGAAGTTCTACGTGGTACTGTGGAAGAAAGTGATTTTTAACACTTTGTTCTTGTTGCTTGTGTAAGTATTAAGAGAAGATTCCTTATGGCCAATTTTCTGAAAAATTGGAGATTTCCGAGGAAAGAAAAATATACTTCAAATTTTATAGGCCAATTTTATGTATAATGTAGGCCAAGTACTTTTCCATATTAAGAACAGTATCTTTGTCATTTCTATGGGATTGAGTTACAAGATATTTTCTGAACAACACCCAGTCTTAATCTAAAATACTGAGATGCTGGTAAATTCCTGTAAATAATGTGATAATGTAGGTGGCAACTCAATTGTGCTATATTTGGCTGGTTCCAAATGTGGGGCATAGAAATATCATAAAGACACAAATGGGGAAATTTCTTTGTCTTCATTATAAGAAATTTGAAAATGAGGCGGGTTGACCTGTTCATGAATACTAGACAGAGAGGTATGATAATTATATGGACTATGTTTTAAGGGTGCATTGTTCTATGTGATAAAATCAACTGCAAAGTAATGTCACTTACAAGAAATGATCCTGTAGAGTGCCTACACAAAATACATGTAATCTCTTCTTGTCACAAGCTGTTTATATCATGTATTTCGGGTAGATAAAAGGGAAGAGGTAGCTGTTTGAAGAGTTCTGATTAGATGGAGAAGGGCTGAATATGAGTGACCCAAACAGGCAGAAAAAGAGCAATGGTTCCTGGATATGAGGATACAAGGGCTGTTCCCTTCAGATTCACTGGAAGATTGGATAAACATAGGAAGAGAAAAAGAGAGATGAGGGACAAGGGATCAGGCAGTGCATGTTGGTGCTCTGAGTCCCAGGTTCAAATCTGTGCTCAAATTGTGAGTTTTCTAACTTTATCCGAGAAATCCCATACCCCTATGCACCTCTTATTGGCAAAATAGAGATGAAGGTGCTTTCTTGTCTTAAAAGGCCATCATGATAGTACCTGTCAGGGGCAAGTGTAGTGAAATAGGGGAAATTAGATTAAGCACTGGAGAAGACAACTGAAAAAAGCTATGTGTGACTATGGTGATTTTCTTACAGAGACAGAAGACGTGTTTACAAACAAGGACAAGGTACAAAAGGAGGTGAAGGCTGTACTGACGCAAAACGCCACGCTGAGCTGCGAGGTGGCCCAGGAGAAGACCGATGTGAAATGGTACAAGGAGGGGAAACTGATCACCTCCAGCAAGAAGTTCAAGGTGGAGTCGGAGGGCAAATTGCGTCGCCTGGTGGTGGGCCAGGTGGAGAAGAAAGATGCTGGGGAGTACACCTGCGAGGCTGCTGGGCCGAAAATGACCTTCAAGATTGACATCACAGGTGAGGGATTTTCTTATTACTTTTTTTTTTTTTTTTTGCTGTAGGTATAAAGGAAGTTTCCTAGTGACATAGATTTACTTCCAGCCTTGGTCTACATGGGTCTGCAACAGAATTTAAGTGGTTATTCTTAAGGGTCAGTATTAAGGGCATGTGTTTGGATGCTTTGGGAAAGAGAAAAGTCCGCTTAGGCTAGTATTCTTTCTGTGATTTTGACAAGGAATGGTTATTAAGAGAAAGGATGTAAGAATAAGACAAGCGTACAACAATCCTTCCACTCTTTAGGAGTCTGTAGTTCCACGCTAAGAATCTGTAGTTTCCATCTCTGATGGGACAGAGTTTTTCTGCCACATCTATACAAGACATGGCTTTGCTGAGAGAATTTGCCAATATGACTTCATGAGGAATTGCACAACACATACGATTTCGAGTGTGAGTTCAGATCAGCATCCAGTAGTTTGTGTATGCTGGTGAATCATCAATGCCTACATTTCTGTCCTTGCTGGTAGTTATTTTTGTGGAAAAGATTACCCAGTACTTCGTTTCTCATCTTCCTTGCTTCTATCTTGCTTGAAAAGATTATGAGGGAAGAATATCTAAATTTGATGTAGATGTTTCTTTTCTGATTGTGAACCAGAAGAAAACCTCAGAGATGCATGCAATTAAAAGCACAGCCCAGGAAGTGATGTGGGATAATACAATTGGATTCAGTACAAAGATTTGCCCTATCTTTCTTTCAATGGATTCACCCAATGCTAGAATCTAATCCTGTCTGTTTAGAAGTGTGTGCATCTATGCAGCCTGGTGCACCAGTCACGCCTCTGAGCTTTATATTTTGGACCCAGCTATGAATGAGGTTATGTATCTTCCACACTGGAGGTGGTTTGTGGCTGGCCTGCTACCAGTGTGGCCTGAGTACAAGCATGATATTACAGCATTGATATTCATGTGACTGCCAGTTGTGGGTCTTGCTGAGGTACAAGCTGCTGTGGTTTAACCCCAGCCAGCAACTAAGCACCACAGAGCTGCTTGCTCACTCATCCCCCCAGCAGGATAGGGGGAAGAGAACTGGAAGGGTAAAAGTAGAGAAAACTTGGGGGTTGAGATAAGAACAGTTTCAAAATTGAAATAAAATAAAGTAGCAATAATACTAATAAAAAATTGTAATGAAAAGGAAAATAACAAAGAGAGAGAAATAAAACCCAAGAAAGACAAGTGGTGCAAATGAAAACAATTGCTCACCACCAACCAACTGATGCCCATCCAGTCCCCGAGCAGCGGACCCCGGCCAACCTTCTCCCCTAGTTTTATTGCTGAGCATGATGTCATATGGTGTGGAATATCCCTTTGGTCAGCTGGGGTCAACTGTCCCGGCTGTGTCCCCTCCCAACTCCTTGTGCACCCCCAGCTGCTCGCTGGTGGGGTGGGGGGAGAAGCAGAAAAGGCCTTGACTCCGTGTAAGCACTGCTCAGCAAGAACTAAAACATCCCTGTGTTATCAGCACTGTTTTCAGCACAAATCCAAAACATTAGCCCCATACTAGCTACTATGAAGAAAATTAACTCTACTCCAGCCAAAACCAGCACACAAGCTTATTGTGTTTCATTCTGTTTGCTCTGCCACGTCTGTGTTCTGTGGTACACGTTGCTGGGCCGTGATCCTACAAGGAAAGTGGAGACGAATCTGCCTCATTCTCCTTTGTGTTTGGCAACTCTTCTTTGTGCCAGAAAAACTATGGTAATACTTATTCCATGGCTCAGTTATGTGACTTTTTTCTATAGCTCTATGCAGGTTGTAGAAATAGTACAGGGTAAGACTGAGATCATTACTTTATTTCAAACAATGAATGCCTTTGATAGCAGAAGCTGTTGGAAAAATTGTAGCAGATTATAACTGAAACTGTGAAAGGCAAAAATTAACAAAGGATCTTATCGCACTGTTTGAAGGAAGAGCTCTCCTTAGGTTCTTGTGGGGGAATCTTCTCATCTGGGACCAGGTGATCGTTATCCTCTGCTGGATGCAACAAAGTGCTTAAGTACTCTCAGCAGCTGTTTGTGCTTGCAACTTAGCCCCAAAGTCTGTCTCTGAGTGAGGGAAGCTGTTGACAGCAATAATGGAGGGTTGCATGAGACTTTTGGATGAAACCCCAAAGATTGGCCTGCTTTTAGGACTTCTGAGAAACAGTCATATTCATGAGAGAAAATTTCATGGCTTGGACACTGGGCGTTCATTTTTGGGGAAATAGCACCATCATCTGCAGGTTGATGTGAGGGGGGACCTCACTGTCACCAACCTTCTCTGCATCTCGCGTCCTTTCCGTAAACAGGGATAAGAAGAGTGTCCTACCTCATGGAAGTGTTTTTCATATCACAGGCTTTGAGGTACTTGGGTACCATGGAAAGAGAGATAGGCATTTTGTCTGCAAGATATAGATGAGTGTTGCCCAAGACCATTGCTGCCAAAGAGAGGCTATTACTCAGGTTTTGCAAATGGGTAAATACAAGAAAGGAGAACAGAGAACAGGCTCCCTCTTGCCACTGAGAGATTTACTGGTCACTTTAAAGGCAGAAATGGTGGGAGTCATTTGGATTCTCCTTCAAGACTGCTGAGGAAGTGTGCTAGATCCCTAGATCACCTTTTTTTTTTTTTTTTTTTCCACCTTGCTGTTGATTAAAGATACAACTGAGCAGGAGTACCAACTAGACTTTGTGTAAGATGTACCATTCCCCTGAGGAAATTCAAACAACTAAAAGCTCTCACTGAAGAGAGTTGCCTAGGATGGAACATAACGTGAGCTTAGGAGTCCCTCACTCAGCCTCCTTGTGTAACCTCCATTGCTCTGTACTGAAGGGCAAAACTTCTACCTAGAGTGAGGGTGAGAGCCAAAATGAACAAATTAGCCTGTAGGAGAACACTTTCTAGGAGCATTGGCTTGTTTTCTTCAGAAGTGGGGCACAAAGAGCTCTGAAACATGAAACCCACACTCTTTGCATCATGGCCCTACTTCTTCCCTTGTCTACATATTTCTGGTGCTAGAGTATTCTTAACCTCCTTCATGAGCTTGGATCCCTCTCGACTTTTGGCAAATCTTGCTTTATTACTACAGTTCCTGACCCCAGAGACACAGCTTTCCGGCAGTTGTCCTTTTTTTTCCATTCCTTATTTGTTCTTTGCCTTTTAAAGGATTTTTAAAGGGCAGTTACATATTTTTCAGCTGGCCTGGCTGATCTTTTCCTTCCTGCTTTTCCACTGGGTGAGATGTAGATTCTGAACACTTTAGTGTGAAGATACCAGGTTCCACATTGAGTCTTGAACAAATTGTTCATCTTTTCATCCTTAATCAGTTCTCATAATTCATACAAGTTTGCGAGTTCCAAATAAGTGTGTTAAAGAGAGATTTTTGTTAGTTCCCATGCCCAGCTTCTAAAATGATGTTCTTGGAATTTACCAAAACCAAGCCTAAAATCAAGTTACTGTTCTTAATTCAATGTCTGCCTGATTGAAGAATTTGACAGCTATTGGAAATCCAAGATGCTACCAGCACAGCTTCAGCAGAGGCAACCAAGATGACTAGAGGGCTGGAGTACATGTTGTATTTGTTCAGACTGGAGAACAGAAGGCAAAAGGGAGCTTTTATTGCAGCCTGCAGCTATCTAATGGGAGGGTATAGAGTCCGCAGCTCCGCCTGCTTCTCAAAGATGCATGGTGATAGGAGAAGAGGCAAAGTATACAAGCTGAAACATGGGAGGTTCTGAAAAGATATTAGGAAAAACTTGCACCATGAGAGTGGTCAAGCTCTGGAACAGGAGCCTTTAGGTTGTGAGATCTCCATTGCTGGAGATATTCAGAACTCAGTGGGACATGGCCCTGAGTAACTCGATGTAATTTTATCTGCTATGAGTGGGGAAGTGGGACTGGATGACCTCCAGAGATCACTCCTAACCTAAATCATTTTATGACTGTGATTTTGTACTATTAGTAGCACATGTTCTGTAGAACATATGTGGGAAGTGATGCTGTTCCATAAGGACACAACCCCCTATAAATCTTTGTGAAGGTACTCCGGTCGTTATGCATCTATTTCATAACCTTCACTGGTTTTTTTTCCTGAAAATTACTTGGACACAAATATGGAGACAGTGCTGGCAAATGAAGGATCCTGCCTGGAACATGTCCTGTTTCCATATGCAGCCCAGTCTTTTCTGTGAGTGAACAGAACATGCCCTGCTTACCCAAGAGAGCCCATCCTGCTTGGCCTGCAGAGATTGACTGTATAGAGTGTGTGTAGGAAAGTTGATGTAAGCTTGAAGATCAGGCATGGCAGTTCTTCTTGCTGCCCAAATGAGCAGTAGCCAGAAACTGTGTTGTCTGGAAGCAAGCTTTTCCTGCCAGTGCTTCCTCAAGCATTTGCTTAATTCTGAATCTGATAGCCTTTTTAATTTCACAGCTGCTTTATTTGAACTGTAGTCTACCAGGTGGACTCCCTTTGAAAACCTGGTACGATATGACCTTGGAGGCAAAGCTTTTATTTTCACAGGCTTTTCTCTAGATTTTTTCCTTCTTTCCAATCTTGCAGATGATGTGTTTGAAAACAAAGACAAAGTGCAAAAGGAGGTGAAGGCAGTGCTGAAGGAGAACACCACACTGAGCTGCGAGGTGGCCCAGGAGAAGACCGATGTGAAATGGTACAAGGAGGGGAAACTGATCACCTCCAGCAAGAAGTTCAAGGTGGAGTCGGAGGGCAAATTGCGTCGCCTGGTGGTGGGCCAGGTGGAGAAGAAAGATGCTGGGGAGTACACCTGCGAGGCTGCTGGCCAGAAACTGACCTTCAAGGTTCTTGTCACAGGTGGGAGATACGTTGGTTTTCATCACTGAGTGGTCCATGACTTCCCTTTCAGACAGAGCAAACTCAATCGCTCTCTAGGCTCCAGGGTCTGTGTAGCCTAGATGCTCGGTGAGCAGTGAGGTTGATGAGTGCATCCACTGTCACACAGATGCCTACAGCTCGAGGTCTTCATCTGTGAGATGAATCCCACTCAGTGGTGCCTGTTGTTTTCTGATGTCAGAGTAAGGAAAAATTAAACAAGTTTACATATGCTGTTGTGATTTCTAGGGATAAAGGTAGGGTCAGCTCCCAGACGTGTAGGCAAATAGGTCTGGAATCATGCTCAAGAAGAACCTAGAGTGGGCCAGGCTTACGCTGGAGTCCCAGTGTCGGATGAGATTGGGTTCTTATACGTGCATTACATGAAGGAACAGAGTGTGAAATTTCTTGTGGATCCATGGGGATGGGAAGAGCCTTAACTCCCGGGGCATTGGTTTGTTTTGCTCAGAAAGGACTGATGTGTTTCCTCAGGCTGTACAGGGGGCCAGGTCTTGTCCGAGTGTGTCTTAGCTGTGAGTGGCACCATTCCAAAGTGACAGAGCTGTGGGAAGGTCTTGTAAGCAGGATTTTGCATTTGATTGTGAACATTTTGGACAGTGTGAACATATATGTGATTTTTTTTTTTTCTTTTAAACTGCTTGTCCCACCCCACAGAAGCAGAGGATGCATTTATCAACAAGGAGAAGGTGCAGAAAGAGGTGAAAGCTGCCCTATCAGAAAACGCCACGCTGAGCTGCGAGGTGGCCCAGGAGAAGACCGATGTGAAATGGTACAAGGAGGGGAAACTGATCACCTCCAGCAAGAAGTTCAAGGTGGAGTCGGAGGGCAAATTGCGTCGCCTGGTGGTGGGCCAGGTGGAGAAGAAAGATGCTGGGGAGTACACCTGCGAGGCTGCTGGCCAGAAACTGACCTTCAAGCTTGACGTCACAGGTGAGAGAAGATTCTTTTGCCCATCATTCCTATTTGTAGAATATTTATAAAAGTAATAGTACTGCATAATTTTTTTTTTTTCTTGTTATGCTTCAAATTTTTGGAGAACATCATTGGGATGGCCTAGCTCTGATGTGGAAATGTGACAGAGAGTTACAAATACAGTTCTCTTTACATCTTCTATGTAAAACTCTATGAAACACTTAAAACAGGGAGTTGCATCCTTGTAAGAACTTTGGGAGGTAATCATTGCTGTAGGAAAAGGGCTGTGAAAAAGAAAGTACTGATTGTGCATCTCTGTCCTCACATGTTGGTGCAACGAGAACAAATCTGCACCACAGCTGATTCTCAATGCGTTTCAGAGCAGGGTCATGTTGGAGAGCAGTTGGGTGTCTGCCCAACATCTTCACTCTTTCTTTCTCTTGGAAGGGCTTGTTTCAGCCTGAGGGGAGAATACAGCAGTAAGGCTTTGATATATGTTAAGGTCTCTAAGGTGTCAGGTAAATGGCAACTAGGGTAGGAAGGTGTCATGGAGAGTCATTCCAGATGCATTGCCCTACTGGGGCTGTAGAGTGGTAGAATGGATTGAGCTTTCCAACTCACTGCCTGCCTCCTGATCCTTTTGCAAGTGGTATGACTAACATGTCTTCCGGAGAACAAGGGGATTTCACCATTTGGATGTAAGGATGTAAGATGAGATGATCTTTTCTCAAGGTTGCGTGAGAAGTAATAACACAGTCCTGAACATGTCAGTCCTGGTCTAGCACCCTTCTCCCTTAACAGAATGACATAAGAGGCAGCAGAGGCAGCTATTGAGAACCAAAGAAATCAACGTTATGGGGCTGTGACACAGCACAGGACAGCTCCTGCCTCTAAAAATTTGTTAGTTTGCACTCAGCTTCAACCAAAATGTATCTTGCCTTGACTGGATCCTGCCATACAACGCTCTTATGAACCATCCAGATGATCTTCTAGCTTACTGCTGTCAATGTTAATCTTTGTGTGATTTGTGACAAAGTAACAAAAAGCTTTAAAAAACAAACGCCCCCCCCCCCTCCAAAACCCCACCACAAAACAGTTTACATGTTCTTCCAATAGCTTTAGATGTTTATTTTCAAGTCAGAGGCATGGTTTCCAGTGTTACCTGTAAGTCATAAGGGGATTGGGCAACATCATATCTTGGAGACACTTTGAATTTCTCTCTCTTTTCAGAGGCAGAAATTGTGTTTACAAACAAGGACAAGGTCCAGAAGGAGGTGAAAGCTGCCTTATCAGAAAACACCACACTGAGCTGCGAGGTGGCCCAGGAGAAGACCGATGTGAAATGGTACAAGGAGGGGAAACTGATCACCTCCAGCAAGAAGTTCAAGGTGGAGTCGGAGGGCAAATTGCGTCGCCTGGTGGTGGGCCAGGTGGAGAAGAAAGATGCTGGGGAGTACACCTGCGAGGCTGCTGGCCAGAAACTGACCTTCAAGCTTGACATCACAGGTGGGACATACTTTGAATTACAGGAGAGGATAATAAATGGATTATAAAGAGGATAATAAACCTGTAATAACTATTACACTATGACTCAGTTGTAATAGCCTGCTCTTTGTTGCAGGCTGTAGGGTTCACCTGATTTTCTCTACCTGATTGCCTGGATTTGCAGAAATGGGAATATTTGGCTTTAGCATGGCACAAAGGCCTATTTTATTCTTAGTCTACGTAATAATAGTTGCAGGTATAAATATAATAGAAATAATAATCAACGTATTACTCAGATCTCTCCCATTCCTGGGATCTCAAAGGGTGATTCTTGTGCATTGAATTTCTTGAAAGGAAAGAGCCACTCAAAAATCCCTTTCTTGTTAGACTTCCAATCCTATTTCTGAAAACTGAGAGGCTGGAATATGGTTTTGTCATTTGCAATTTCAGCAGCAGCATGCCTCAAGATGGGTTGAAAACTCACATGTTTTCTGAATTTGGGCTGTTATGTGTTTGAGATCTCAGCCTTCTGAAATGCCTCACTACTTCTGCCAGGTGCTAAGTGTCCCTGTCATGAAAGATTCCCAGCAACTGGTCTTTTGGAACAGGAATCACAAGGTGCCCAAACTTTTTTAAGCATGTGATGCTAAAGGGAGTGTTGATGTTGCAACAGTCTTGGGTACCTTGCCAGCCATGATCCTGACCTACCTGAGCACTGTAGGGAGATCATATTTCCTTTGTGCCTTTGACAGTCACGTTTGTGAAAGTGGGAGAGACTATGAAGAGTGTGTTTCAGAAGCCTATAGTCCTATATTTGTGTCCTAGGCCTTAAGCAAAAGGAATTTGGGAGGTTTTGGTGATACGCAGGACAGATGTTCTTTGGGAACATTTGAATTAAATATTTTTTGCATGGTGGCTTGCAACCATAGGATCGATGTCATGGACCCTCTTGGTCCTTTCCATTCCTGGGCTCTTCCCTATTTTCTACATGGTGATTCAGTCACACAGAAGGGTAGGTATTGCCCAGTGAAGGCAATTGGTTTTGGCAAGTGACAAACTAAATAATTTCCAAACCAGTGCACAGAAATCTGTGAGATTGATCTCATTTTAAGCCCTCAATCAATATATTCTTCCTTTTCTGCACTCAGAGCCCCAACCTGCATTTATAAACCAGGAAAAGGTCCAGAAGGAGGTGAATGCTGTCCTGACGGAAAGTGCCACCCTCAGCTGTGAGGTAGCACAGGATGCAACCGAAGTGAAATGGTACAAGGATGGAAGACTGCTCATTTCCTCTAGAAAATTCACAATAGAAACTGTGGGCAAAACTCGGCGCCTGGTTATACAGCAGCTGGAGAAGAAAGATGCTGGAGAATACATCTGTGAGGCTGCAGGCCAGAAGCTGACCTTCAAGTTGGAAGCAACTGGTGAGGATTCACCTAAGCAGCTCTCTGTGTGGCTTAGAGGAAAACTGGATATTCCCTATCCAGTGGCCAAGGTGCAGCCACTGTTTTCCCTGGAGCAACATCGGTGAAACACATCACACATTAATTTGACCATTTTAATCAAGCAGTGTGGAGGTGGGAAATTTGGCTGAAGACTTTTTTTGGCTATGGAAATGCTATATAGTTTTTTGCTTAGTGTCTCCTTCGCACACCCCCTCGCCCAACCTTTTTAAATGGTGGGGAGCTGAAAGCAGAAGTGGGAAGTTTTAAAGAGCAGAGAAAGGTGACTAAGAAAAACTGGTCTGCTGCTGTGTGTGCCCCCAAACTGCTCAGTTTTGTGGTAAAGCATTGTACAAGACAGAAGAAGCCAAGAGAAAGGGAATAGAGCAAGCAGAAAAGAAAATAGGCTGTAAATTCAGGTTTAGCATATTAATATTTCTTCTTAATTAGATCCAAAATCCTAAAAATGGGAGAGGAAATAATTATAGAGGTCATTTTACTTCGAAGAAACAAGCTTTTTGTGGGCAGTAGATAAAATGTATATTTGCATTTCCTTTCCTTTGCTCCTATTTTAAGCAGAAGCTCTGGGTTCCCTGACAGATCATTTTCTTTCTTCTTGCTCAGCAAAAGATTACACGAGCCACAAATATTCAGCCATATTCCCTGGGTTATTACAGATTATGGATGAGCTGGTGTTGTGGGTCATGAAGAGAAAGTAATAGAAAATTGCTGTGTTAAGGATTTGAGATTTAGGTTATTTTCCTATTTTAATGTCTTTCCTAGAACCAGAGGCTAAATTTGAAAAGAAAGCTGTCCAGAAAGAGCCTCTCATTGTTCAAGAACATGAAAGCATCACACTGACTACTTCAGTAACACCCGAAACTGCTGCAGTCAAGTGGTTCAAGGATGGAACAGAAATCAAGGCGAGCAAGAAATACGAGATCAAGAGTGAGGGGGCATCCAGGACCCTGACGCTGAACCTGGCTGAGAGCACAGACACTGCTGTGTACACTTGCCAGACAAAGAGCGACAAGCAGGAATTCAAAGTACAGGTGAAAGGTGAGCAGAGCAGTGCACAGGTCGTGTCCCAGCCCAACAGCTATGTTTCCCTCATGGTAGGGTGGAGGTGAAATCCAAACTCTCTCTAAAACTGTTCCAGCCTCAGGACTTGAATTGCTGTTGCAGCTGCTGTAGCTGCCCCACCATGGGTCAGCAAAGTTCTCCTGCTTCCAAATATCCAATTTTTGTCCTTTGCTGGCCACTTGGGGGAAAAAGGAGGCCTGTGATGGGTGCTTTTCCTGGTGTCTGCTCCACACTGTCATCACACTGTTTCTGTCTCCTCCTAACCCCAGTAGCTGGGACATGGCAGAGCCTTAGCTCTTCCTCACTCTGCTCACCGGCATGAACAAGCTGATGAGGATATAGAGGGATGTTGTGTGAGGAGAAGATTTGTGAGTTAATCACATGGGGAATCCTGTTCAAAGGCACTGTTCTTGCTTTACAGAATGATAATGATATTAAAATTCTATGTCAAAGGAATCTCCCTAAATTTCCACCTTTCTGGTTTGTTTCTGTCTACTGTGATCCTCAAATCTGTTGGGTTTTTGGTTTTGTTTTTCTTTTAAAGCTGGCCAGAAATGGTTTGTTAGAACAGGTTTATTTTTTTTTCTCATCATTTTCCTTCTTCTTCATCTCAGAAATCCCAGTCAAGTTTGCCAAAAAACTTGAAGCTGTTAATGCTGAGATTGGAGGCAGTGTCTCTTTGACCTGTGACGTGAGCCATGCCAAAGGAAAGGTGGTGTGGCGCAGGAATGGAGTTCAGGTCAAGCCCAGCAAGCGTTTCCAGATTCATGAGGAAGGGGTCAAGCGAACACTGACAATAACAGGGATTCGGGCTGAGGATGAGGGAGAGTACTCCTGCGAGTCCAGAGATGACAAGAGCAGCATTACCATCACCCCCAAAGGTACGTCTGTAGAACTACATGGTGACAATGTGGAGGGATCCTTGGGTTTTGTCCTCAGCCATTACAATGCTGCAAAGCTGAGTTTGTTCATGTGTTTGTGCTGTCTCCTGCGTTGACACCAAAATACAAAACTCCACTTCCTCTCTGTGTCAGTGGAACCTCTATTAGTGAAGGACATAACGATTTTGAGACCTGTTGAGCTCAGGTCTCTTAATATGTGGGCAAATTGACCCTCATATTGCATTTGAGGCTAGAATTAAGTATCCTAAACCTAAGATGGGATTTTTTTTCCCACTGTTTGCTTCTCTCTTCTGGCATCTTTATACACAAAACTTACTCGGACATGGAAAACGTAATGACCCATTATTGTGATCACTTACTGTAAGTAATAAAAATTGATGCTTCCAATAAAATCATCGAACTTTTGGCTCTTTGAAGGCATTTATGCTATGTCTTAAAGATAGGCTCCTAAATGTTTTATTCCTATGCATCAGCTCCCAGAGTAGTGAAATTCGTTACGAGTCTCAACAGCGTGGTCTCTGAGGAAGGAAAAGAGGCTGTGTTCAAGTGCACCGTCTCTCCCAGTGATGCCGTGGTCACTTGGCTCAGGAACGGTGTCAAGATTGAAGCCAGCAAGAAGTACGTGATCTCGCAGAAGGACACCAAGCACAGCCTCACCATCACTGATCTGACACTGGAAGATGCAGCTGAAATCTCCGCCAATGCTGAGGGTGTGGAAAGCACAGCCAATCTCAGAGTCCGAGGTAGGAGGTGATAATGTCCCTTTGACAGGCCATCACTGATGATGTTTTATGTGGCCTTCTTTCTGACTGATTTTGTTAGCAGTAGGGAAATTCTGCTTTCTCATCATTAAATATGGGTGCTCAGAACACATTGGGACTGGAGATACATGAGCCACCATTTTAATTCTCTCAAAGCTTGTTTTCTGGATCCTCTACTTTCTCACTAATATTTCTTCTCCTTTGACAGAGGCCTCAATCTCATTCAAGAAGAAACTGGAGCCCAGAACAGTTGAAGAGAGGGACACAGTGACCTTGGAGGTAGAGCTGACCAAGCCTGCAGAGGTGAAGTGGATGAGGAACAGCATCGTATTGAAGCCCAGTGAAAAAATAGAGATCAAAGCTGATGGAACAAAGCATACCTTGGTGGTTAAGGACATCTCCTTTGCAGACAGGGGCTTCTACTGCTGTGAGAGTCCTGATGACAAGACCCAAGCCAAGATCAATGTGGAAAGTAAGTTGAATGATCTCCAGTTCTATAAATACCCTGGACAGGGTTTGGAGGTGGATTCTGGTCTCTTCCATTATTATAATGGCCCTGCCACCCCCACTTGTGCCATGGGGACACGGGGACACAACCATGGGCCTGGCCACCATGACTGAGAGGAGGTGGAAGCAAGGGCAGTAAAGGGAGGACAGCTGGCTGATTCTTGCTGCCTCCATCTCATCCCACCAGCTTTCAGTCATGCCATTGACCATTAAGCTTCTTAGCTGCTTCTTCTCTTTCCTCTGAAATTTCTCACTCTGGTACACTCTGTTTTTTCCTTCGTATGGCTTTTAGCAAACCATTCCTTCTTCAGCCAACCATTGCCTTAATTCTTCTCGCAAACCACCTCTTTCAGAATGTCTCTTTATATTCAGTCAGGGTTAAAAATACTCCAGAAGCAAATCTTCTATCTGAGGGTGCTGCCCTTTTCAAGTAAGCTAATGGTGTCTCAGCTGTAGTCCTGTACTTCTGTCCTTTTTCCTACCTCCTTTCATCATGATTGTTACAGGACAGATGAAGACAGGACTTAAGCACTTAAGGACTATCTAATTTTCTCTGTAAAGCCCCTGCCACCAATTGGTGCTGTGTAGGTTATAAATAATAGGTAAGGAAGGACTCAATAACAGAATTCAAGTATATAAAAGGCTGTTATAAAGTGGAAAGGAACAATCTGTTCTCCATGTGGAAATAAAGGCAGGAAATAATGGACTTCAATTGCAATGAGAAAGATCCAGGTTATAGAATAAAAAAGCTTTTTAATGGTTGGCTGACCGAATATGTTGTCTGGAGAGGTTTTGGAGCTTCCATCACGGGCTTAAGAAAAGGTTTGTGAAATATCTGTCTGGGATGATGTAAAGAGCTGAGCATGGCCAAGAGCAGGAGAGAAAGGCTAGATAATTTTTCTAGGTATTTCCAGCCCTGTAATATTGTCGTTTTCTGATGATATTAAAGATATAAAAAATTGATAACAGACTGTCTCATATGGAGTAGGGTTTGTCAAATAACTTTCATGGACTGCTAAGACAGCTTCACCTTCAAAATCTTCCTGGCTGACAGTTGTCAAAACCCCACTGCACTGCTTTAGCATCCTGATATGGGGCAGTTATCACTTTTATTGGCAGTTGCTCATCTTTTTTTCCAAACTGAATAGCTCTAGAAAAAACCCAGACGTTATCAGTGACTAGCAGCTGGTAGATTAGGCTTGGATTCGTGCAGCCTAAATCTAGCACATCACTTTCAGCTCCTTCTGTAGCCAACAGAGAGAAAAAAAGACCCCCAGAGAGTGTTTTAAGTCTTAGATGCACTGAATTATCTCCTGGAGTGTCTTTCTGACCATTCAAGGAACCAGGAGTGACTCTGATCCTGATTTAGAACTAGGTTCAGGTTTACTGTCTCAGTTAAATGGGATGAATTGGGTTCACAGAAGATAAAGAAATACAGCACTTCCATGGTCACAAGGTGTTGGAAGAATGCAGTGCAGTATGGGACAGTTTGCTGCTCCATTCTCTTTCACACGTTGCATCCCAAGGCATTTTTTTTTTTTTTTCCAGACTCTGGGTGATACTGAATTTCCTTCCAGCAAGATGTTTCAGCAGTTGGTTGTAGATTGTTATACCTGGTTTTAGGCACTGTCTGTTGCTGTAGCCAAGTAGTAAAAACAAAAATGATGGAACAGTGTTTACTTAGGAAGTAATTGGGTAGTCTTGATAGATGCCAACAGTGTTTTGTGCAAGGTGAGTCATGCAAGCACAAATGTGTATCTGACTCTGGCTTATAAACTTCCTATTCTGATGGAGAGAGAGGATTTCGGGTTGTGCTTCCCAGGCACCCAGCTGCATTCTCATCACGCTTAGTGTCACTGTAAAAAGTACCTCCTCTGTTGATAAACTGAGATAGTTTCATGCAGTGATGGAAACTCAAGGTGATCTGAGAGTGACCATGATCAAAAAGGAGAATCGGCTCCCCATAGCAGGGAATTCTTTTCGCATATGAACATCCAGGCCTTAGTTATGAGATGCAGCAGGAAAGGAGCCATATACAAGAATCTCACATGTATTCTGCATCCAAGTCCTCCAGCTGAGACGGCACCAAGCTCTTGCACTGCTTTACAGCAAAAGCAAGACTCTAAAAGTAGAAGTCTAAAATTATGTTCCATTTTTTTAGCATTTAAGCTAATGTCCTCTTTTCATAGCAGGATGTGTTAGAGCTTACATTGAGGTCAGCGGAAGTTCTTTAAATGCTCACGGTCTGGAGACCAGAGCTACTACTATTTGGTGCTCAGCTTTAGGTTAAGAAGCCTGATTTTAGAGGACCTTTATTTAAAAACACCAAGCTGGACTGATACTGTTTGGTTTGAGACTGGTTTCAGAGAAAGGCAAATAAGAAATAGCTATGTGAAAATCTGTTGATTTACTCCAGTATAAAAGTTGCTTCTTCAAAAGACAAGCATCTGTTCTGATCTTAAGATGCCAGGAGACCCTAAAAACAACTGAGCTGCTCAAACCAATAACATATCTGGCTGAATATCTATTTTCAGTTGCAACCAGAAGGAGATGTTTGTGGAAGACCTAAATAAGTAAGTCGTGGGTAAAGTAATCCTTCCTCTGATACACCTCTAAGCTTTCAGCAGGGAAAAGCATAATTAGGTCAATTAATTATAGCAGAAATTATACTGGGAACATGAGTATGAAATTTCAAATCTCTTGACACAATATATTGTCTATTAAAATAAATCCTGTAAAAGTTCTACCATTCCCCAACTGTTGCTGCTTTATGACAAGACCTTTGAAAAAGTGAATTTTTTTTTTTTCTGTCCTACATAGAACACCAGGTGAGGATATATCCAGGAGGCCACTTACTGAGTTAGAAATTGTTATGCTATTTAGTTAATGTTTTTGCAAGTCCCTTTTGCTATCTGCTTGGAATAACTTCAGTTTGATCCTCGGTCCAGTCACTGTTTGAGGGGCTGGAGTATCTATTAACCTGGGGAAAGGCTAGACAGTAGCAGGTACACTGTGTTCAGTTTAGAGAGTGAGGTACCCTGGGGGGATAGGGACCAGCTGCAAAATCAGATCAGAAACTGGGGACTGATGCAACTTCTAGTGAGCAAAGCCAGGAGAGCTGGTGTCTTAGTTTGCAAAGCAAAGAACAAGCTCCTGGAAGTGTCTTTACTTCCTCATTTGTCTGGTTCAAGACATGTCCTTGGGGAATATTTGTGTTTAAGTGGTCATGACCTTGGAGAAGACCATGAGAGAGGAATCGGTGTGGTTTCCTTGAGAGAGGGGTTAGTCAGGAGCTTACGTAAGATGCATATGCTCCTCTGTAAACCTGATGTGAGGTGTAATAGCAACACAGGGGACAGGAAAGGTGTAAGGAGCTGGCATTACATGGAGTCCACCACCACCCTCCTGGGGGGAACACTACTATGCTTCTACCCAGTTTGTTAATAAAGCTATAGCCTACTTATATCACCTTTGGAGAAACAGTTTGTTCCCTGCTGTCCCTCCTGTGGCACAGGGGTAGGTGCCATCAGGAGATGTTTGAGCCTCAGAGAGGCTATGGTATCCTCAGCCCAGGAGCTGGGTCCAGACCATGACCACAGAACAGAGCCCACAGCCCACTCCTGGTCACGTTTGCATTCAGATCCTGGCTGAATGTGGATTAACTCTGCTAAACATGCACTAGGCAGGCCGAAATATTCCCAGGAGACCCATAAGGAGTTGAAGGTTTTTGTGAGTAATTCATGGCTTTGTAGAGGGTTTTTTGTTGTTGTTGTTTGTTTTGTTTTGTTTTTTTTTTAATTGGCAACTTAATTTCTTTTAAGAGTGAGTCAAGTTTAAACACTAAATCCATTTTACTGGTTGATAGGGCACCGATGTCTCTGTCTTGTAGAGGGAACAGGTAATATCCACCCAAAACACAGATGCTTTGTCCCCTAAGCTGTGAGGGGTCAACGCACTTCACACTGTGCTGTGAACTTTTTTTTTCCTTTTACTAAAAGCTTTTTTCTCTCCCTGTTACTTCCCTCCCTCCCTTGTTTTATTCCTAGTTGAAGAGCAGCACAATGTTGTTTATTCCTTTATGCTCTATTAATCTCTAATGATCATCTTTCTCCTGAACCATGCTTGAACAGTAGGTATTTTCAGCAACATCTCTCTTGTTGTACAGCACAGGGAGCCTGGTCCCAGTGTAAATAACAGTAGTGTTATCTTTTTCTAGAGTGATTCTTCCTCATGATTATTGGTGACCATATCACCCAGCACAGGAACGCCTCTACTCCTGTGTGTGTGTACAACTTCAAAGCTTATTTCTGCCATAGACAGTGAGTGTGGTGGACCTTGATAGAAAAAGGGCCAGTTTGCCCTTTTTCTGCAATGTTTGGCTGACTTGTTTGTCCCAGCTGAAAGCATCCATTTTAAGAACAGCAGCTGTGCTAGCAGTATGGTCGTGAACAGGTTTTATTTCCTGCAAAGGTGGTTGTTTAATTGGCAGGTACCTGCATAAGAAATAGGGAAATAATCTATTTTGGAAGTCTTCAGGCTGTTTCACAGCTGTTGGTGTGAGATCTCCAACTTGTCCTTGTTGTTTTTTCAGTGAGGCAGATCAAGCTGGTGAAAGGTCTTCAGCCCCTCGAAGTCTCTGAGAAAGGGACCGTCACCTTTGAGGTGGAAGTGTCGCACGAGGACGTGGAAGGGACCTGGCAGAAGGATGGCGTTCGGCTGAAGCCTTCACAGAATATCAGTATGAGTGTCCTGGGGAAGAAACATTCACTGACTCTTTCTTCAGTGACTCTTGAAGATGCAGGACTCATCTCCTTCAAAGCAGATGGCATTCATTCATCAGGGAGGCTCACTGTGAGAGGTACGGACACCCAAAAGTCTCAGGCCCTGGTCAGTGTGGGACACGGTTGTCTTCTCCTGACCCAGAGAGCGAGCTTTTAAGAGAGCAACAGGTGTTCTTTGTAACTGCAAGGGATGTTAAGCACTGGACCATCATCAGTAACTTCTAATGTCAACAGGATTATTGTAACATCATTGTCCAGAGAACAACTCATGATAATGTGCTCAAAACAATAGGATTTTGTTGTCACAAGTTTTATTAAACATGGAAGCTAGGCTCTGCCTATTCACTGTTCCTTGTGCCAGGTGGTCCTGGAGACCTAAATCCCCACTAACCGGACTTGCTCTTTTTTGCAGAATTGCCTGTGAGAATCAGCAAACCTTTGGCAGACATCAGTGTGACTCAGAAGGACAAGGTCACATTCGAGTGTGAGCTGTCCAGGCCCAACGTTGATGTTAAGTGGTTGAAGGTACAGCATTTGTCGTATAGTGGTATTTTAATTTCTGACTTCTCTGGAAGGGAATGAGAGCCTTTAATTTCACCTCCAGGGGATGTGAGTCTGAGCCTTTGCTATACAGCTCTTAGTATTAGTTTCTTGTCCTTATGTTCTTTTACTGGCCCAGTTCATCACTCTCGGTGTTATTTATTTACTAGGTGCATTTATCAGGTTGAAAGTTAAACTTCTCTTAAGTTTATAGTGAACTCCTGAGCTGTTTTTGCGCAGAATGTGGGCTCTGCTGTTGATAGCAGTGCAGTTTTTTGCTTTACTTCATGCCTAGCAGTTCTCACCCAGGATTTACAGCCTCATTGGAAACTGTGATTTAAGGTGAAGCCTCAATTCCCTTTCACCTGACAATCATTTTGGAGATCAGCTCAGGCATTTCATGAACCTTCCTTGAGGCTCAGCTGATACTTCCCTTAAATGGGGATAACAGCATTTCTTCAAGGTAATCTCTGAAAAGGCTTATTGCCAACCCTGTACGGTGCCTTAAGCCTTCAAATAGGTGTCGTAGGTTGACCAAAAGTTATGCATGTTCTGCAGCCATTCCTACTTCTGGAAAACTTTGCACTGTGCTTAAGTTTCAGCATATGTTGCAGTAAGCACAGCTCTGTTAAGTCCAATGAGACCTGTGAATTAAGCACAGATCTGAATGTTTGTTTTGCTTGGTGCAGACATAGAAGAGTTGATGGTGATCTGATTTGGCTTTTCCCCTTCTAGGATGGGAAGGAGATCCGACAAAGTAAAAAAGTGGGGATTATTTCCCAGGGAAATAAGAGAAGCCTCATTATTCACAAGTGTGAATATGAAGACCAGGGAACCTATACATGCGAAGCAGCTGAAGACAAGACATCAGCTACCCTAAAGGTTCATGGTATGTTTGACTGAAGTAGGAAATGACATCTACTGCAGTATTTTTGACTGCACAGCAAGAAATTCTTTGTGTATTTTGCAATTACTCATTTTGGATAACTTTCCCTTCCTAGTGAGAAAGTGCTGGCAGTGCTGTCCTGTGCTGGCTCTATCCTTAGAGGAGTATTTCTGGAAGAGGTTCTGACTTAGTTTTCTATTTATCATAAGTGATTTCTGTTCTCTGGAATTTGAATGGTGTTTCTAGATTGGCAAGTTAGCAAATACCGGGGAGCCTGGCACAAAGCAGGGATTAAACGGCTGCTATGCACATGGTTTGGTTTAGCTTCTGCCATTGTCACAGGGGGACTTTGGCCAAATAGAAACTGGACGAGCCCTGGGTATGATCTCAAGATGTGCCCTACTTATTATGTTGTAAATGTTAAGGAAAATGTCAGGATTTCTGACTGCATCTCTCCTTTATGCTCAAGACAGTTTTTTCCCTCTGTGTGTTGCACTGTGCAACCGGTTAAGTGCCAGATGTGTTTTGTCACCAGACTCTGAAGCACCAGGGCTAAGCTAGTGCTGAAGGCCAGTTACTGAACGGACAGGTCTGCTGTACCCTGGCAGATGTTATTTTTCCAGAGGAGCATCTGAAAAGGCAGATCAGCTCGCTCTTATTGCTTACTAGATGCTGTCCTCATGTGGCCACTTGGGTTCAGCAATGTCTTCATGAACATCTATGCTGTTCCATTGCTCTGTTGAACTCTCCCTTTTCTCCCTGCCTTCATGATTGGGATGGGTTGCTATTTGAATGCTGGCTGGTTTGTATCTGAGCTCTGGTCCAGAGGCTGATCTGAGGTGTATCGAGGTCTTCCCTTTTAAAAGGAAAGGGCTGCAGTAGCACAGAAATATGGGTCAGTTCTGACATAAGTTAGTGCAAAGCTGCAGTTAAAGAGGATTATACGGAGTTCAGGGGACTGAAGCAAAGGTATCTCCTGGGCACAACATGTGGCTGAGGTCCCTCTGGCTGATACAGTCCAGACACACGAGCACGGGAGTAAAAGGAGAGCATGCAGAGAAGCATGTGAATGAGACAGGTTTATAGTGACACAAGAGATTGTAGGCTTGTGTTTAGTTTTCCTTGGCAGATTTTCTTTCATTAATATGCTTAACTTCTTTTAAAACCTGTATAAAGTTCTGGCATCCATAAAATCCTCTTGTAGTGAGCTCCACTGTGGCTGGTGTTTCTACCTGTAGGTTCAAAAGTAAAATGTATTCACTGTATTGAAGAGCCAAAACACCCAGGAAGGGAGGCTGGTCTAGAATAAAACACAATCCCATTTTTTCCATGCAAGTATGCAGAAGGTAAACACACCACACTCAGCTATGGAGAAACCCCAAATAAATATTTGTCTCTATGATTTCACAGCCCGAGATATCAAGATTGTTAAACCACTGGAAGATGTGGAAGTGAACGAATATGAGAGTGCGTCTTTCATCTGTGAGATTTCACATGATGAGGTCCAAACCCAATGGTACAAAAATGACAACAAGCTGAAGGCTGCCGACAATATTAGAATGCGTCAAGATGGTAGGTTGGAAAAGGGGGATCTCATTCTTGAATGGGGGTGGGTTGGAGTAGGTGCTGGTATGGGAGACCAGGCAGAAGGGTCTGACCTTCAAAATCAAGTTAAGAAGGCTTAGCAGAGAGTTCCCCTTTTGTTTTGGGGCTGCAGCTAGGCTGGGACAGTGACACGGTGGGAACTTTTAGTTAGGCAAATCTGGTGTCATCCCACCATCCCATGCTGCCAACAGCAGGTAGGAATTTGTATCATCTGAGAGTGGGTGGGATCCTTCTGTGTCAAGTACTTTCCAGATGGTGGGGACCACATTCAGTCAGTACTTGGAGGAGCTGAGGTTAGGTTATTCTTTGATACAGGGACACAGACATAGAGGAATGGTCGGCCTTGCTGCTGTGAGAGTGGGTGATGATGCACTAAAACCAGATGAGCGATGCTCAACCTGGCAGTGCGCCTTGGAGAGTGAAGCTGTTTGCTCAGGGGAAGCCATGTCTGGTTGTGTGTCTGTTCTCAGGAAAGACCTATTCGCTGACTTACACGCGTGTCCAAGTTGAAGATGCAGCAGAGATCAAATTTGTAGCAGAAAAGGCAGAATCTCGTGCCCAGCTTACTGTAAAAGGTAATTATACTTTTCATGCCAATACTGCTTAAGCTCTCTCATGTTACAAACCAACTTCCCTCACTTTTAATGTGAAGAAGGTTAAACAACACCTAAAGCTTTCAGCGAAAGAGAAACTCCTGCCTACCTTACTGCATGTGAAATATCAACCTGGGAATTTACTTTTGCTAAATAACAGAGTTTATTTTCTCAGGCAGTTGGTTTTGTACCTTAAGACATTAAAAGTCACTTTTGAACTTCGAGGAAGAAAAAGCTGTAGCTTGACTTTCTCCTGCATTTTCTTTCTGGTGCATGTTTAAAAAGAATACAGTATTGTTCTGTGTTTAACTTAAACAGTGTGATAGAGACAGAGAGAAGGAAAGCATTTGAATTAACACACTGATGAGGAGCTCAGGAAATCTGAGCTCAGCCCCTGGCTTTGCCATAGCACTGCTGTGTGGTGTTGAGTAAATTACCTATTGTCTCTGCAGTTCAGCCATCCAAGTGGTAAAACAGGGATAAAAAGTTTTCCTTTCTTTAGCTCTTCCCTTGCTGTGTGCTAGTTGAGTGCTTAGCATAGTGGGGATTCTTGTCACCATCACATAGAAGAAATATTGCTAATGAGTTTTTAATTGGCACTTTTCATGGAAACTGTAGTGATTATTCCACCTTTTTTTTTTTTTTTTTTTTTTTTTTTTTTTACTCCTTTTAGAGCTGCCTGTAAAAATTGTGAAGCCTTTGCGAGATAAGATTGCTCTTGAAAAACATCGGGGATTCCTGGAGTGCCAGGTGTCTCGTGCCAATGCCAAAGTTAAATGGTATAAAAAGGACATTGAAATTCACCCTAGTGACAAATACGAAATTGTGAGCGATGGTGTCTACCGGAAACTCATCATCAATGATGCAGATTATGAAGATGAGGACACGTACACTTGTGATGCATTTGATGACAAAAGCAGCGCTAATTTCTTTGTTGAAGGTAGTAAACTGTTTTTTCCTCTGTGGGATGCATCGGAAGGACTGGCTGATTCAAAAAGCCCTGGTCATTTACTTTGAAAACAAAATACCACTTAAAAAGTATTTTAATTCAGTGTTGATTTATTCTGAAGTCCATTGATATTGAAACCTTTTAGGATTATAAGTGCAGGAACATCCTGTAAAATGAATACATGATATATTCTCCTAGGAAAGTGATGAAATTCCTGTTCCAGAGAATTTTATCAGATATGCTGGAGAAAGTTTGTTGTTCAGAGAAGTTGCTGTAGCTAACCAAAGTCTTTCCTATTATCAACATTTACATTTCAGTGAACCTTCTTTTCCATTTTATAGTGCCAAATGTTTGACATCAGGATAGGAAGGTGGTTTTAGAAATAGGACTGGGAATCAGGAGATCTGGATTCCCTTGAGTCTGTGTCACACTCTCACTGTCTGACCTGTGACCAGCAATATATGTTTTTATAGAAAAAAAGGATGTTTTAAGGCCTTTTGAGCCAACAAGTGCAGTATTCAAATGCAGAAAAGATGGCATGAGTGTGCAGGATGCTAATGAGAGAGTTCTTTCATGACTCCTAAATCCCTGCTTTCTCATTCCATCCTTCATCCAGAACAATCCATTAGTATTGTAAAGGAGTTGTGTGACGAGGATGTGACTGAGCCTGAAGAAGCCAAGTTTGATTGTGAGATATCCATTCCATCTGTGAAACCCCCCAAATGGTCTCTACGTGGAGAAGTCCTACAGGCTGGCAGAAACATTATCATGCAGCAAGAAGGCACCATTCACCGGCTGACAATACTGAAAACCAGCGCTGATATGACAGGCACCATTCAGTTCTCCATTGGCAAATCAAAATCCACAGCAAATCTGCGTGTCAGAGGTAATGTGGTTATGTCCTGTTTTGAATTAGATCATGAGAGATCCTTCCTCTCACAGTCCCTGGAAAGTAATTTTTCATACGTACTGTCTAATGTTCAGGCTCCACTGGCTGGGGTCTTGGAAATGTATGGAAGATCTGCTTAGTTCCCAATTACAAGTTGTTGGGTGCATGAAATGAGACATCAATGTCTTAGGAAGGCATCTGATTAAAAGAGTTTGGTGTGCCTGGTATTCAAACCTCATATTCAATTCTATTGATCTAAGACTGGTTTTTGCCTTTTTTTCCTCTTGACTTTACCAATGAGGACAAAACAGACAACGTTTGCCAGGAGAGTTTATTTTGTGCCATTTCTGAACTAGACAAGTTTGATAGCTCATTTACTTAATCCACTTTGTCATTGACTTGATTTGGGACGAAGCTTCAAGGCTTTTTATCTTCTGCTGTCACCATTGTAAATATCTCCAATCATATCCTGAAGTCCTTGTTTTGTCTTTAATTTGCTCTTACTTGAATAAAAACCTCAATTAGAGAGCAATTCAGTAAGCACTGACCCAGAACTGGACCATGCATTTGGTAGTCAATATATAGTATTATCTTATAGAAACCAGCATTCCCTATAGATCATCATGATGTTTTAGCTTCAAAGCGCATCAGCTCTGTAACAGAAACTTGTAGCACCATCTGAGCAGTTCACAAAACAGTTGTGAACGGTATACATGAAATAAATTGGCATGAAATACAGATTAGAAAGTTTCGTCTTCTTCAGATTGATCCTTTCTTCTTTCCCAACCCTGCTTTGCAGATTACCACATACAGATCACCAGGAAGATGGAGGACAAGACAGCTCTGGAGCGCCATTCAGTCATCCTGTCCTGTGACTTCAGGCCTTCTCCAAAGGTTGTGAAGTGGTTCAAGGGCCACACACCCATCGAGCCCTCCGAGAAGTACAAAATCAAGCGGGAGGAGCATTCAGCAGAGCTCAAGATTTTGAAGGTGAAGCCCGAAGATGCTGGCGTGTACAAGTGCAGGGCTGGAAACGCCGAGACTGAAGCCACACTGACCGTTGAAGGTATGAGCAGTTGGCAGCAGGGAGGATTGCCTGTTGCATAGATATAAGGAAGAAATTTTTTATGATGACAGTGTTGAAACACTGGCACAGGTTGCCCAGAGAGGCGGTAGATGTCCCATCCCTGAAAACATTCAAGGTCAGGTTGGACTGGGCTCTGAGCAACCTGATCCAGTTGAAGATGTCCCTGCTCATTGCAGGGGGGGTTGGACTAGATGACCTTTAAAGGTCCCTTCCAACCCAAACCATTCTATGATTTTATACCTTTATGGTTCAGTATTTCACTCTGTTCTTCTCTTCTTGAGTAGGGGTAGATTCCCACAGTTCTTTCCTGCTAATTTTATATAAATGCAATATCTTAAGTGAACTGACTGTATTATGCACTGTGCTGATATTCCGTGATACTGAAATCCAGCACTTTACCATGAAGTAGGTAATGCATGTGGAAGGGCACCATCTGGGTAAGGCAGAAATTCATGCGTCTTTCTCAAGGCACGTTATTTTCCTTTTTATCTGAGGAACTAGAACTCTTTGGTACTTGCTAAAAATGTCCTTTATGTGAAACTGCTACAGACCTCTGATTCTGGTGATTTTGGTTGTGGTTTTCATTTCCTGGCCACTGTGTCAGCTTTTATATCTGCTATATATTTGCTAGTCACAATGATGTTCTACCTCATCCTGGTATGGCACTGTTTTTAGCCAGTTCTTCACCTCTGGTGAAACTGTAAGAAAAGGTGATCACTGGGTCACTTTCAGCAAGACTTGGAGGTGACCCATGGAATCATTTCCAGAAGTCCAGGAAGCAGCTTTTGGTAACAGTTTGGCCTTGAAGAGGTTCATCCAAATGACAAAATTATTTAATACTCCCCAAACCCTCTTCTGAGTTAGCTAGTCCTTGAGAAACGGCATTTCATGGGTGGAGAAGCTGCAAAGAGAAACCTCTGGCCAAGGACTGGGAGGGAAAATTAACTTCCTGTTGCTCCCTAAACCTAAGCAAGTTGCTTAATCTCTTTGTACTTCTTGTTTGTGACCAAACCCATTGCCTTCATCTCATCCTCTGTGTTTCCCTGGTAGTGAGTCAGGGATAATTTAGTTATAATGTGCTTGTGTGTGTGCAGTCATGAGCACTCAGGGACTGGAGCTCTGTGGAGTATTTAGGCATCACTGTAATGTCATTGCCATTTTAGAAAGACTTACTTATTTTTTAAATTAAAAAGAAAAAAAAAAAAAAGCAAAATGTGTTAAAAGAGAATTGAGGGCTCTGGACAAAACAGACTTTTCAATGGATGCTTTTTGTTGGACCAGTTGCAGAACCAAGTAAATGAAATGTAATGACCCATGGTGTACAGGAGACCAGACTAAATCATCTAAAATTCTAACCACTATGAAATCTATTTGTGGTAATAGTACTGATTTATGGTGACAGTGGTGATGGTGCACCTTGGTTTCCTACAGCCCGCAATGTAGAAGTACTCAAACACCTGCAGGACGTGGAAATTGAAGAAGAGAGTTCCGCTGTTTTCTCCTGCGAGCTGTCCCACGATGATGAGGATGTGGAATGGTTCCTCAATGGCACCCTCCTTTACACCAACAATTTCAACGACATCAGGAACGTTGGCAATTGCTACATGCTGACGATGAAGCAGGTCAAGCCTGAGGATGCTGGCACAGTGACGATGAAGTCGGACAAGGTGTCGGAGACCGTGCGTCTGAAGGTGATAGGTGGGTTGTGATCACACTCCTCCTGAATGTAAATCAGAGAAGTGAAAGAGCTCTTATTTACTATACCCATGCAGCAATCCTGCTTGCAAGCTTCACCTCTCTGGGACTGAGTAATAGGGATACAGGGGTTTTCTTCCAGCGTAAGTTTCTACTGTAGCTCCTGATTTTTCTGAGGAAGACTGTTTTGATGTCCTGACAAAACTTTCCATAGTTCTTTATCATGCTTTTACTTATCGTGATAATCTAAAGAGCAATTTCCTTTACTTGTAGGTCTCTTCAGTAGTATATAGTCTATAAACTCCTATTTCTAAAGATTTTTGTCTGCAAGGAGATGAGTTTCAGTGTACTTCCAAGGGTAGGGCACATCTTCAGTATATCAGTTCTGGAGTTGGACTGAATCAGCGAAGGGAAGTCAGTTTGCTGCTGTCCTTTGTCTTAGATGTGTGACCAAACTTTGAGTTGTTGTGGTCTAACATGTCCTTGTGCATCAGCTAAGCCACAGTAAATTGTGTGAATTATTTTAGGCATGTTAGAAACGTGAGGTAAATGTCTTGCCAAAATTTCAAAATCACATTTTGTTTAGCAACAGACCCGTACATGCATGCTCAGGTAAATCATACTGATTTGTTATCCTAAATTAACTCCTCCTTGTATCGGGAAACATGAGTGGGAAATATTCTGATCTGTTTTCTGAAAATCAGAGTCTGATGTTGTCCATGCCCTCTTAGAGAATAATCTCTCTGATTTCCTTAGCATTTTGCCTCCTGATCATGACTAATTTGTTCTTCCCAAGTGTCTGACTAATTTAACTCTTTTGCTCTATCCACTCAGAGTCTGAAGGATTTTCTCTTCCTTCTTTCTTTTATATCTGGTAAAAAATTTCACCCATATAAATATCCTCTGTGTCAAATATATTTTAAGTTAGATAAAGGGAATTAATAAAACAAAGAAGCAAGAGCAAAAATGTTCAGGAGAGTGAGGAGAATGTGCAGCAGATCCTTTTATTGCTGCTCCTGCTGCATGAATCCTGCTTCATGAAAAGGCACTGCCAGCTCTCTGGCTTTAGAAGACCTACATCCCAATTAACTTCTCTTCACACATTTTTCTTCTAACCACCTGACCCCTTTCCCACTTGTAGACTGCTGCAATGAGAAAGGATGCTCCCAGAGAACATTTTCTGCTCCTCCACGATGCAGAGAAGGGCTTCCTTAAACCTGGTCTATCTTGTTGAGTAGCTATTCCATAGAAGTGTGAAGCGGTCCCTCTGGCCTTCACTGAGGCCCTACGTGCCTGCTCAAAGCCCCATTCCCTGTGATGGGATGTCCTGTGCCTGTCAGATGCCCTAACACAGAGGAAAAAGGAGTCCTTGCAGTCTCACAGGTGTGCAGTTGTAAGAGAGACAATGATTACAGCACTGAATATCACTCCCCATCCGTGGCAATGCAGGCTGCCTCTCTCCTTCCATGCATCCTCCCATTAATAAATTCTGATTTTTCTAACACTCCTTCCAATCATGAGATGTGAGACTGCTTTAGGTTCTGCATTGGAATCATCAGCATTGCCAAGGGCTCACTTAAGCTCTCTTTAAATATTTGGTAGCAATTGAAAATGTCTCAACTTTAAATATCCTGGCTGTTCTCTGTTTTGCCCATTAACCTTCAGAGAAGCCTGCTGTCTTCATGAAGTCCTTGGACGATGTTTTTGGTGAGGAGCGAGGTGTGATTAAACTGGAATGTGAAGTCTCCAAAGAGAAGGTCAAACCTGTTTGGAAAAAGGATGGTGTGCAGCTCACTTCTGGTAACAAGTATGAGCAGATACAGTCTGGGAAGACCCTGTGCCTCCTTATCCATGACCTTGAAAAGACAGATGCAGGTTTATACACATGTGATATTGGCACCGATGTTGCCAAGTCAAAGGTCAGCGTTCAGGGTAAGTATTTTAGACAATGGCCAGTCAAGGGGTGCTGCATAAACGGGTGGGCTTGGTCACTTTCTCTCACACCTATGCCTCCATGAGCCTCACGTAACATGGTGATGTCTGAATAATCCCTGTTACTCTTTGACATAAGTATATCTGGTGTTTCAGTGAAAATCACGTGTCAAGAATGTAGCGACAATGTTTCCTTCGTGAACATTCCTAGGGTGCAGAAATTCTCCTAGAAGAGCAAATAATTTCTCAAGAAAAAACCCAAAACACACACACAAAAAAAAAAAAACTGAGCAGCTTGTGTTTCACAGTTTTGAGCTATTAATTCAGAGTTCGTTGTGGGAACACAAAAGTAGTATGATGGTGTCTATTCAAGAACCCAGCAGTTCAGCCTGTCCTCTAATCCTTGAAGCTGCTTGGAGGAAAAAGAAGTGTTCATGGCTTTCAAACTCATGTTGATAGAGACAAATTTGAATTTGTCTGATTTGAACACCAGGAGGGGTAGGATGGTAACAAATTAACAAATACTAACATCCTATTTCTCATATCGTCACAGAGAAAAACCTCACACAACGTCCCAGAGGCTTCCTGTCTGACAGATTTTCTCCCCTCTAGCTCATTGAATCTTGACTCTTGTCCACCAAGTGAGCTGTTCTCCATGCAGTCCTTTCAGAGCAAAGCCAGGAGATTCACATCTCTCTTTTCTATAGCTTTGTGGTGATTCTGAGCAGACAATGTCTGAGAAATCCTTCCCATGTCAAACACATCTGTAAGGAATGCAGTGCTGTCCTGACAATCCAGTAGATAAACCGTTCTGATGAGCTAAAAATGTCAATACTACTACTCATGTCAATCGTAAAAGTCTTCTCCTTGTATTAACCTAGTTTTTGTCTTCCAGAACTGAACATTGGCATCACCAAACGGCTGAAGAACACCGAAATCCAGGAGGGAGAAGATTGCACTTTTGAGTGTATTTTGTCCCATGAAAGCATTGACGACTTCAACTGGACGCTGAACGGGAGTAAAGTGGAAAGTGGTGGGCGATTTAAAGCCTCTAACGTGGGTCGGAAATATACGCTCAATATCAAAAACGTGATTCCTGATGATGCTGGGGAAGTAATTTTCACTGCCCGTGGTCTAACCTCCAAGGCTTCTCTTGTTGTGAAAGGTAATGAGATCAGAAAGGTTCTGGGGTTTGATTTCTTGGGTGCCTTTTCATAAAGTATGTCAGTAAACCATGAAGACAAACTCTTGTGATCAAAGTGAATAGCAGACTTCTCTGAGCCTTGAAGCACTGGCAGTTTTCCTTAAAAACGAGTGAAAGAATGGAAGTTTTTATAGGTATTTGAGAACTGCAGAACACACCGGGTGGTGTAACTCTACGGACAATCACTACCTAGACTGTGTGCATCAGAGATAATCACCCAAGGCTCCCTGGGTAGTCAGTGGAAAGAAGAAATAGGTAGCTTTCAGACATAGTTCATCATCTGCATTTAGACCTATTTAGGTCAAAATAAATTATTCCTTGAAGTCTGTTGCCTTTACTTAGATCACTGCTGGCTGTAGAGCAGCCCTGGAGGGCCTCTGCTACATATCTCTATAGCATGGATGTCTGTATTTAGTGAGATAGATCCCACCATAACTGCACGCCTACAGTGACTTCAGTGACAGCAAAATGACGTCCCCTGAAATGAGTGCCATCAGGGCAAGTCCTCAGTTCCTGTAAGCAATCATTAATATTCACTGAGAGCCCATAACTGCAATTCATATGTACTAAAGAGCAAGACTGCTTTTTCCCTCTGTTCCCGAACATGATATGAATCATTCATTGGGGAATGTGAAAACTTGTCGGATATTCGAATTGCAAAAACTCCAACTATATAGTGATCATGATTTTTATTCAAAGCTCCTTTTTTTTTTTTTCTTCCCCTTTTCAGAAAAACCTACTGAGGTTACAAAACAGCTGGAGGATAAAACATCAGCAGCGGGGCAGGACATCAGCCTGAGCTGTGAATTGTCAAAACCTGATGTGAGCATCAGGTGGTACAAGGATGGCAAAGCAATCCGAAAAAGCCAGAAATATGACTTGCACCAAGAGGGAACACGAGCCATTCTAATAATCCATGATTCCACGGTCAAAGACAGCGGGGAGTACACCTGTGAGACAGAGGTCTCTAAAACAAAAGCCAAGGTCACAGTGCAAGGTCAGTTGAAGCATGCATAGGGGCTGGCACGTACAGCAGTTGGGGTAAATAACTACAGCTTGTGCAAGATGTTTTTCTCTTCTATCTCCCTAAACAGGATCAATTTTTAGTTTTCAAAAAATGCCATGGATTAAAAGCTTTTTTTTTTTTAAAAAAACCTCTGAAAAAACACCTTGTAGGTACTGAAGAATCTTATGTGCTATGTAATGAGCCGATCAACACTGGCAATTTGAAGTAGTCTTTTTTTGAATGTGAGTGATCAAAACTGTATGTGGTCTGCAAGATGAGACCTCACCAGTACCTGTACAATGGCATTAAACTTCCCTGGAAATATTTTACCTGATATGTCCCATGACAGCAGGTGGAGCTGGTGATCTTAGATCCATTCCATCTGATAGGATGAGAGGAAATGGTCTCAAGCTGCACCAGGGGAGGTTTAGATTGGGCACTAGGAAAAACTTCTTCACTGAAAGGGTAGTCAAGCATTGGACCAGGCTGCCCAGGGAAGTGGTTGAGTCTCCATCCCTGGAGGTATTTAAAAGAAGGATAGACGTGGTGCTTAGGGACATGGTTTAGTGGTGGCCTTCGGAGTGTTAGATTAATGGTTGGACTTGATGATCTTAAGGGTCTCTTCCAATCTAAATGTTTCTATGATTCCATATTCTGTGATTCTACAAGTGGGGGCAGAGGGGATTCAAGACCAAGCTGTATGCTCAGGACTTGTTTGGGTAACGAATCTTTCTCTGCCTCTATCTTTTTTTCTTTTTTTTCCCCTTCCAGAAAAACCTAATTATTTTGTCAAGGAACTTTCAGACCTGAAAGCTGATGAAAGTGGAACTGCAGTTTTTATGTGCCAGACGGAGAAAGCTGCATCCTCTGTGGTCTGGAGGAAAGGCATAGCTGAACTCAGGGTTAGCAAGAAATATGAGATCACACAAAAAGGACAAGTCTTGCAGCTGACAATAAATAACTTGGAGAAAAGTGACAGTGACACTTACACCTGTGACATTGGTGATGCCCAGTCCAGAGCCAAGCTAGTCGTGCAAGGTATGCATGAGAGGAATATGATTGTACATCCTGTTTCACCACTAGGAAACCTTATATGCATAGGTAGATCTATTTCTCAGCATATAGGTAGCAGATCTACTGATTTCTGGCTTTGAGTCACGATGTACGTACGCTGCACAGGGCATGTGGACAAAAATATAGCAACAGGGAGCTGGACATGTAGAGCAATTTGTCGATTTGAAGCAATTACACCTGGAGTACTTTGGGTATGATTTAAAACCCAAAATGCTGATGTGAGGAGAGGCTGGTGTTCCTGTGTGAACATATGATGGATATGATTCAGAGTGCCTGCTATTAGATGAGGGAAAAATTATTCTGCCTCCAGGCTCTTTTCTTTTCTCCATGTCCCTTGATGCCTCTTTCAGCAGTGGTTTCTAAGAGGGCATCGGTGAATGAGCTGTCCAGGGATCTTTAAGTGCTTAATGTCCCTCTGTGCCTTAGACATGAGTTACACCCTCCAGCTGAAGAGTACAACCCAAGCAGCTTTTGTTTGATGCTACAGGCAGAAAATAAGTTGCGGTGGCCAATGCTAACAGCAGGGCAGCGTTTAAGGGGAAGGAGCGAGTTCTGGTTTTTACTGCTCCTCACAGTTTCCTCGCTGGAGCCCCAACTCGGAGAAATTCTTCAGCTGAAATAGATGAAGCAATGAAGAGAATAAGAGGAATAATTCAAGAATATTTGCATAGAGATGCAGTGGCAGTGTCCGCTTATTATTATAGCTAGTTATTAAAGACTAAGGGGGTAAAGCCAGACTCCTCCACCTCTGATCATCTGCTAGAGCAGCCTTGAGAACAAAATTGTTCTTAATCCCCATCATGGCCTCGGGATCTGAGCTACCTGAAGTTGCTGTGAGGTTTCTAACATCTGAGTGAAAAAAATACTTTTCTGTCACAAAGCTCAAGAGAAAAGTAAAAATTCCCTGTACTGGTTTTGTAAGTAGGAACAACATCGGATATATCTTTGTATACAGTGATAACCTTATTTTATTTATTTATTTATAGTTAGGTGTATCTCTGTCTATATCTATACAGGCAGGTTTTCAGGGCTGTTGTCTTGTTTATTTTTACTAAAGCTGCAGTCAGACACTCTCCCCGCTTCCCACTGTGTTTACGGTTGGACTAAGCTCAAAGAAGGTGGGGGCCGAGTGGTCCTATCCCATAGAAAGCAAGAAAGCTCTAGAAAAACAGAGGGGCTGTCATGGGAGGGATCATCTGCTTAGTGATGTCTAGAGCCCAATGATGCTGTCAGAGATGCATCCTTTCAGCCTTTCCAGGTCCTTTCATTAGGAGAAACTTTAGAACACTGCATTTGCATTGTGCTGGCTACTTGTTCTGCTATATGTGTTCTGGTGCTTTGAAATTGTCTTCATCCTATTTTGGTGTGTGTCCTGTAGATATTATCTGCCTGTGGATGGTTTTTGTGTTCAATAACAGGGGAATTGTGTTTCAGTCTTCCGTACCATGAACGTATTTCTTGAAATACTCATGTGGGAAATCTTGGAGTTTTCCATATCGATTTTCACGCTAGAAACTGAAGATTCCAATAATTGATGTGTCTATGTTCCTTTCAGGCCAAAAAGTGCTAATAACAGAAGACCTGGAAGATGTCACTGTGTTAGAAGGGGAATCTGCCATGTTCAAATGCAGAATCTCTCCTGTAGACTATAGCAAAGTGCAGTGGTTTTTGGATAAAACCCCGCTCCATACCAATGAACTTAATGAGATCCAGTCTCAGCCTGGTGGATATCACTTGCTAACATTGAAAAAACTCTCTCTGAAGGACTCGGGGGTCATTACATTTGAAGCTGGTGATAAGAAAACCTCTGCCAGTTTGGTTGTTAAAGGTAATTCAATCATAAAACTGCAGGAGAGGAAAGAATGTGTAGAAATATCTATGGGTTAATGTGGGTAGGTGAAAAAAAGAACAAAAATGTTACAAATTTGGCCCCATCATATGTATATCTGTAGATGTTCAATAATAGCATTATCTATATAATGAAGCTAGGGCTGGGGAATTAACACTTTGTAATCCTGGACAACTCTCGGTGTGTTTGTTGGACGTTAGATGGGAATGTTATATGTAGTGATGGTACATTGGATGCCTTGTCCAGTTTTCCTTGAGCCAAGCTGATAGGGTGAGTGAGGAGAAATGAATTAGTTGAAGAAAAAAAAAAAAAGTGCAACCAAGAAGTTTTTTATTTAGTTTCCGTTGTTTGAAAGGCAACATTACATGTGTTCTCTGCTAGTCATTGTTGACAATGAATTATTTTCTCTGGCAAAGTTAAACTGAGTTAAAACTGAAGTGTTAGTCTACTTCTCTAGTGAGGGAATAAAATGAATGCCAGACGGCCCAAGAGTGCAGGATTAGACAGGTGTTTTCTTACTGGAAACATAAATATTTCTCATTGCCCAGAGATGTAAAACACAGTCTCCACCGTGTCAGATCATATTCCCATTCTTTTCAGAATCACCACGTTTCTTGCAAAGAATTTTTTTTCAAAATTTGAAAATTTTCCCAAATTTTGCCTTGCTATAGAAATGCAAACAGATTTTTCTGAAAGCAAATGAAAGGTCTTATTTGCAAAAGGCTGATTCCTTTCGGTAACACTAATATGTGATGCTATAGTACCCCAAACAGGTTTTGGTCTCCTGATTGATTGGATTTTTATGGATTAAAAAGCATTAAGCTAGGAGGGATGAGATGTACCTTGGCTAATTTAGCTCTTGGTATCTAGATTAGGCTACTTCTATAAGCTGGTAGAAAGACAAGTACTTCCAGAGAGCAGTTCATCTTCTTTGTCCTAATGACCTATTTTGGAAGTGAATATCTGGTCTCTGGAGGTGTCCGTCATCTTCCAACAGTTATAGAGACACCCTACATGACCAGTCTGAGCTATCTGCCTGGTTTTTAGATGATGCATACTGATGAGATGAGACCTGCTCTAGATGATTGGCTTTGAGAGATCTGTATTGCACCTCGCTTCATGCAGAATTCCTTTTCCACATTCAGTTAGAAGGTTCAAACTAATCAGCTCACATGTAGAAGGGCTTAGGAAAATTGTGTCTCCATCTTGTTTGTATTTAATGAGATGCAAGAGAGATCTTATTTATGTTCTTCACTATGAGGGTGGTGAGGCACTGGAAGAAAAAGTTGCCCAGAGAAGTTGTGGATGCCCCATCCCTGGAAGTGTTCAAGGCCAGGTTGGATGGGGCTTTGAGCAACCTGGTCTAGTGGAAGGTGTCCGTGCCCATGGCAGGGGGGGTGAAACCAGATGATCTTTAAGGTCCCTTCCAACCAAAACCATTCTATGATTCTTCAACAGGCATATTTTCTTCTCAGTTTCTCCCAGATGGTGTCAGGTGTTTACTAAACAACATTTTATGGCATGACTGGTGCCTTTCTGAGGGCTTTATAGTCATGAACACCAAATTAGTTGTTACTAACCTTGACCTGTAATTTTGATACAAGTAATCTTGGATGTAAATCTCTCGGATTACTTGTGATCTGAAAATCCTCACGTCTTCTGAAGCATCTCAGACGGTTTTTATGTGATTCTAGAGAAGCCCTGCATCTTCACGAAGGAACTGGTTGATACTGAAGTCGCTGAGGGAGAGGATGTGATCCTTCACTGTGAGACCTCCAAATCAGACAGCCCTGTGAAGTGGTGCAAAGATGGGAAGAGCCTTAGGAATTCTTCCAAGTATAACATCAGCCGGTCAGGATTTGAAGCCAAGCTTGTCATTCACAGGGCAGAAGAAAGAGACAGTGGCAGATATGAGTGTGAGGCTGGAGCAGCTAAAAGTAGTGCGGTTATTACTGTCAAGGGTAAGAACATTTGGAGCGATGGTTTGGGTCCTAACTCGTCATCTAACACTGAGGTCAGAGTAATAAATTGAAATGATAAAAATGTGAAACTATACTGAAAAGGAACCTCATGTCTTTGCACGAAAATGCAGGAGTGGTTCTTCTCATCAAGTCATCCAGGACAGCAGCCAGAGAGGTGACAGCATGTGAAACAGGAAAACCCTTCATCTTACCCAATGTTAGCTCTATGAGAGTTAAGTGCCTAAGCTCTCTGGAGCAGAGAGCAATGGGTCAGTAGAGAACAGCGGGCGTCTCTGTAGGGGATCCACTGAGCCTAAGAGGTAATCCAGAGAAAGGATGAGTCACCTTCTGAAGCTGTCTCCACTGATGGCTCTCTCCAAGGAAGACAGCTCATACACCCACATTTGTCTGGGTAATTGCTTTAGGCAGCCAAATTTATTGAGTAGTGCATCCAAAGTTTTTTTTATTCCAAAGATCATGATCAAGGCAGGAGGTGCCGTCTGAAGGGTTATGGTCTGAGCTGGAGCAAAAGGTCTCTTTAGACACATGAGACTTTAATGTACTTCCTCGAGCACATTGGGTAAGCACCACGTACATTAGGTAAGCGTTGGGTCTGAGCTGTGTCAAAACCAGGCTCACCTGCTACCCACATTATAACTGCTCCAGCCTGTCTTGAGTCACTGCTCCAGCCTGAGGTTGAGGAGGAGCTTGGTTCCTGTGAGCAAAATTGCTCATTTGTATGGGCAGGTTTGAGCAGATACAAGGAGGCTGTTAATGGCACAGGCTGGGTTTAGCCTGACCAGTGGATAACCTGCATGCAGGTTGTCTTAACATGCTCTGGAGGGATTGATTGGAATCTGCACCTGGATTAGAGAAGTCATTGTGAACAAAAAGCATTTGGGTTGTTGGAATAGTCAGCCTGAACCTCAGAGCATGAAGAGGGAAGGCAAGATTCTCACAGTATTTATCTAGAACACAAAGAAACAAGCCAACTTAAGGCTGAGATCTGCTGTGCAAGGAAAAAGAAAATCTTGACGATGTAATGGGGAAGAGAGGTGATGGTTAATGGTCCAGATTTGCTATGTCTTTCATTAGTACTAGGATGCTTCCCCAACACATGTTACATAAAAAAGAAATATCTATGTTGACTTTAGTAGGACCTGGATCTCACCCATAATGAAGAGGAATTTTTCTGTTAGAAAAAACATAATAAGTCATAATAAGTGTTAAACAGTTCCATTTTTCCCTTCACAAGGAAGGGTGTGGATGGATGCAGGACTTAAACGCTTGGATTCAGATCACCAGTAGATGTGAAGGAGTCAAGTCATAAGGATGCCTACAACAAATTACACTGTTGTAGCTTTCCTTTATCTATTAGGGTCACATCAGAACAGCAGAATGCAAAAATAGGAGGGGAAGAAAAAAAAAGGTAGCCATGTGACACTGTGTCCCAAACCAGAGGTAAAAGGGGAACAGAAGAATAGGCTGTAGTTTTTCAACAGCCACAGGACAACTGCATCATGTATCAGTAGCTGACTTGCATATTCATAAGACAGCAGAAGCCAGGAAGAACTTGGGTTTTTTTTTCAAGACCTGACAGGGAAAAAACTTCAGTTGAGTTTTTTTTCCACAGTAAGTGCCTTCTCTACAGTAGCTCACCTTAAAGCCTTCGATCCCAGGCTGTGACAGAGCCTGCATAGGAACCTCCACGGGGACCCTTTCACATACAGCTGTGCTTTCCTCTCTGTGTATGCTCTGTGCTGTTTTTAAGTCTGTATTCATGTCTGATAAAAATATGTTGTGGGTTTTTTTTTTTATAATGAGAAATCAATACTGCTGGTAATGACAGAAAGTGCTTTGCCATTTTTTTGTGTCCTCTGTGTTATGTGCCAGTTGACTTCAGTAAAGTTCTACGTTTTTTGTGCCTGTGATCCAGCTCTGACCACCCATCTGCAACACACTGTTTGTGTCATTAATAGCAGGGCAGCATCGGCCCCTGAGGTTAATAAATGACAACAGTAACATTTGCAGTTTTCAATAGTACAAATAGTGGTTAAAAGGGAAAAAAGCATAAGGTCTCAAATATTTTTTTTCTGCTGTAGAGTGCTGGCAGCCAGATGTGAGATGTAAGAATCTGTTTACTGTTTACTAGTGCTTTTCTGTTCCTGTGGTTTTCTATCTGAATAGCAAAGTCTGAAACAAAAAGGAAAAAGTGATTTCCAATCTCATGTGTTTCCTTAGCCATCTGCAACGTTCTTTTTCAGAAATACCAATTCTTTTCAAGCAAGAGCTCCAAAATGAAGAAGCTAAAGAAGGAAAACAAGTTAAGCTGACCTGTGAGCTCAGCAAACCTGATATCCCAGTGAAATGGATGAAAGGAGACACTGTTCTCTATGCCAGCGAGAAGTATGAATTTAAGCAGCGTGGTACTGTGGCAGAGCTCATTATTCGAGATGTCAAATCGATAGACGCTGGGGAATATACCTGCAGCACTGGGGAACTGAAGACCACTGCTCGGGTGAAAGTAAATGGTAGGCAGAGTTAGATATGTTGCCATGCTTTCTTAATGCATTGCTTAATAAATCTTCTATTAAAAAACAAAACAAAACAAAAAACAAAAAAAAAAACCCGAAACAAACCCAAAAACCCCACAGCACTTTGTGGCAGTGCCATCTACAAATTCATATGTAAAATTTAATGGTAATGCATACTTGTAAGCACCTGTATATATTTCATTCATGTAATCTCATTTTATGCATCTGGGATTTTAAATCTGTAACTTCCCACTAAGCAGAAAATAAGTAAGTGCAAAGGGTTCATTCTCTATACCCTACATGCCGTAGTACCTGACCTATCAGCTTTTTTACATGGCTGTGATTAAGATTGGAGTTAGAGTTGGAGACCATGAGCATGGGAGCACAAGAAGAACATGAAAACATAAGTCAAGTTCAGTCCCTGATTAATGTTTAGACCCTCAAACTCCCCAAAGCATCCTTTTTCTAAAGGCTCCTAGACGCCATCTGCACTCCCCAATGCCGTTAAACAAATACAGTGCCTTTAGTAGTATAACAAAAGTAGTACGTGCTGGAGCAGAAAGCAGGAGAGATACAGGGCAAGTATACTGTCACAGAGCCCTGTAGCAACAAGGAATTTATTAGCTGAGGATGCTCAGAGGACTCTGAAGGGATCCTCATTAAAGATGAGAGAAACTTTCCCCCATAGTCCTAGGAATCCTCAGTGAGATGATAACATCTGGGGGAGAGATTTCTTCCTGCTCCCAAGCAGAATCACTTCGATGTCACATAGCCAAGGGAGGGTCTAGGGTGGCTCTTCTCATTTGGAAAAGGACTAGTTTTAAGGGGTGACAGCCATCATGGGGTACTTGTTGTACAGCAGGTCAAGAGAGCATGTCCTAATCCCTGGTTCTGTGTTCTAGCTGTGCCTGTCCTTTTTAAACAAGCCCTGGAGAACACGGAAATGGAAGAGGGGAAATCTGTCTCCCTGCGCTGTGAACTCACAAAAGCTGATGCCACAGTGGTGTGGAAGAAGGGAGAAGCCACGCTCCAGGCAAGTGCCAAATATGAAATGAAGCAGAAGGGGACAGTGGCAGAGCTGGTGATTCATAATACAGAGCCAGAAGATGCGGGAAGATACACCTGTGACACTGGAGACCAGCAGACCACAGCCCAAGTCAAAATCCATGGTAGGAATAAGACACGTGCTTGTGACCATTTGTTGTTGTTCTTGCCATGGTCCTGCTAGCTCCTGCGCATTTATAGTGAGCATTAAGATAAAAAGGGATCAGGACAAACAAAAGGCAGCTCTGGCTGGGTCCATTATGTTCTCTGTTTTCTAGGACAATAACTTTGTGCTACAACATAGCAATCAAATATCCTTAATAACAAGATATCTTTCCTTGCCTCTGAAATAACTGTTCTGCTTTCTGCTCTGGATAGAGGTGCTTGTCTGAGCTCTAAGCCAGGAGGTAAGAAGGGCCTTAGCTACACATTTTGTTAAAGAATATGCAATTCTTTTCTGCACTTTCTCAGCGAGTTTTTCACGTGCCTGTGACCAACAGCGTTTGGGCAGCAGAAGGGTAATTACGTTGATGTTCTAATTATTGGGAAATAATTGTTTTGGTTTTATTTCCTCCCAAACCCATGGTGTGCTATTGTAACGCCAAGTAGAGTCCTGGACATGCAGGTAGGTCAGAGCTTATTAGCTGTTCCAAGAGAATTTGTTTTGGTTTTGAGTCCCGTATGAGGTCACCAGTTGGTAATGATGCTCCTAAAGTAAAATGGGAACGCTTCATTCCTCAGCCGTCTCTGCGCTCATCAAAGAAGAGCTGAAGAACATGGAAGCTGTGGAAGGTGGGACCGCCACCCTGCGATGCCAGCTGAGCAGAGAGGCCCCCGTGGAGTGGAGGAAGGGGCATGTTCTTCTCCGACCGAGTAACAAGTACAGGATGAGACAGGAGGGCACGGTGGCTGAGCTGCTGATCCACAATCTGGACCCAAAGGATGCTGGAGATTATACATGTGTAGTGGGGAACCAAAAAACCACAGCAGCCTTGTCAGTGAATGGTAAAAAGTCAGAAATAACCTGTGAAACTCTGGAATGTTTTTGTCCATCTCTTCCTTCCTCCTCTGTACATTCCCTCACAACACCTATCTTCATGTCCTGCTTCTACTTTTTTCATCCTTCCACTTTTTCATGTTGCCATGTCACTCCTTTCCCCAATCTCCATCCATGATCAGCTTTCATTATGCCCACTGTTGGATGTGTGTGTGTTGTGTTGTCTTCTCACCCTTCCTCAAGTGAAGGGTGCTGACATGCATGTATGTTTTCCTGAATTAGTATGGAAACAGAAGATTCCTTGAGATTTTCTGTTAAGGAGGGTTCATCACCTTTAATGGCGAGGATGTGTTTGTCATTTGTATACTTGATCCCAGTCAAGATCATACATACTTTGATTCTCACAGAACAATTTACTAGAGAATTTGTTTTACCATCCACAAAAAAAGGCAGGATGTGCTTAAGGATAAGGGTGTTGGAATAAGGCTTAGGTAGTCATACGATAAATCACGATTCAGCCTCTGACCAGAGATCTGGGCAGGGTTTTGGGTTGCAATCCCTTTTCATTCTGCATCTCTCAGCCCTGCCAGTCCGTTTCAAAAAAGAGCTGAAGAACGAGGAAGCCACCGAGAGCGGGACGGCCACGCTGCAGTGCGAGCTGAGCCAGGCGGTGGGCTCAGTCGAGTGGAGGAAGGATGGGAAGGTGTTGATGCCAAATGGCAAATACAAAATGAGACGGGAAGGGCGTTTCGTTGAGCTAGTTATCCAAGACCTAGACTTGACGGATGCTGGGAGCTATACCTGCATGTGTGGAGACCAGAAGACAACAGCTGCCTTGAGAGTGAATGGTAACCATTCTACCCATTTTGCTCATTAAGCCCCAAACTTAGTGTGTTTGACAGCATTTGCTGGTCATCCAAAGTTTGGTCAGTGAGATTTCTTAGAGGTTTCATGTTCTCGGCTCTGTGGTGCTAAAGAGTCCCCCTATTAGAGAGTATTCCCTTGTGCTTTTTTTTTTTTTTTTTTTTTTTTTTTCTTTGAGAACGCACAGCTTTGTCATATATTGTT